AAGTTATTATTTATGGTTTGCTGGATCTACTTTGAAACCAACAGCCAAAATAAGATAATGCTTATGTCACGGGTTGATACTTAAATTTTAAATTCGTGCGGTTTCAAAATTCAAGCATTCACTCATCCGACGTCTTAAATCAGTCTACCTATAACGATTCACACCCTATTATCCGCTCTGACCCTATGACTTCACGGTTTTATCTTACAAAAAGTGCCTCACAAGACAGAGATTGTGTGAACCCTTTTATACTCCAGTGACTTCCTATTATGTTCGATATGTGTGAACCCTTTTATACTCCAGTAACCTCCTATTATATTCGATATGGGATTCAGGACTCTTCTCTAGGTCGTGACATTCTCCTCCATCCAACCTCGTGACGTCCTCGTCACGGAGGCTGGTTACCCTGCTTACCTCCTTCGAGGTACTTTGGCGTTGGTCGAACGGTTTAAGGCTGGCTCTGATATCACTTGTCACGAGTCGAGACTTAAACTCTGAATCCGCGTGGCTCCGGGACCCAGGCATCCACTCATCCGATGTCCCAGATCAGCCTATCTACTACGGTTCACACCTTTGTGAGGTATTGTCTGCTCTAGCCTCATGGCCTCATGGTTTTATCCTACAAAAGGCGTCTTACAAGGCAGAGGTGGTGTGAATCCTTTTATACCCTAGTGACCCTCTTATTATGTTCGATGTGGGATTAAGGACTCTTCTTTAAGTCCGTGACATTCTCCATGTTCGATGTGGGATTAAGGACTCTTCCTTAAGTCCGTGACATTCTCCCCCACCCAACCTCGTGACGTTCTCGTCACGGAGACTGGTCACCCTGCCTACATCCTTCGAGACACTTTAGCATGAGTCGAACGGTTTAGAGCTAGCTCTGATATCACTTGTCATGGGTCGAGACTTAAACTCCGAATCCGAACGACTCCGGGACTCGAGCATCAACTCATCCGACATCCTAAATCAGCCTACCTACTACGGTTCACACCTTTATGAGGTATTATCCGCTCTGACCCCCTGACCTTACGATTTTATCTTACAAAAAGCACTTCATAAGATAAAAATGATGTGACCCTTTTTATATCCCAATGACTCTTCTATTATATTTGATGTGAGATTTAAGATTTTTTCTTAGGTCTATAACATTTGCACTTACATGTACTTGGAGCCTTATGTGTAAAAACACGATGATAAGCTCAATCCTTCTATGAATTAGGTCCCAAAAAAACAAATAGTTTTTCTTAAATATCTTAGTTATTTAATTATATATGCTATGTTTCGCTCCTATTTAGGGTTTAGTCATAAAATGCAAACCCAACGTAAAGGGATGTATCCAAAACAGGTCTTAATCCTTATTCTCGAACTCCGAAAAAGAGACTCATTTGAAAAACTTGAGCAAATTAACGAAGACTAGCAAAGCAATATTCCATGAATTTATATGACTATAAATCTATAATAGTATGTAAAAGGAAACTACTTGAGGAATCTAATATAAGGCGTGACTAATTAATTATTGGCAGGCGATATAGATTAATTATTCAATGGTTTAGATCAAATTTTTATTATTTCTTTAATTTGATAGAAAGATTAATGTTTTTTAAATATTGATTTTACTATAATACCTATTTTATCACAATTTAGATACTTAATATACTAGTAATATAATAATACATCAACTACACATCTCTTATGATCAGTTAATATTTATTATTTCAATAATATTATAAGTCCAAAAAATGGTTCCATTTTTTAACTTGAAATGACAAGACACACTTAAGTAATGCTAATGTGGGGAACTCCATTTAATTTTTAAGTGGGAATAACTTATGTAAGGATTACATCGATACAGTTAATCAAAAATTTTATTGATGTAATTTTAAAGATTTTGAGATAAAAGTTGATCGTTCATGAAAGTATAATAAAAATTAATAACCTAAGAAATGTGATATGATTAGTTTTATAATAAATTCGGAAATTATATCAAGAGTTATTAAAAAAGGTTTATATGTGATATGTTATTCGTGTATAAATTTATATACTATCAGTAAATTTGATAATACTTTATTAATAAGTAAACTTTTAAAAATATATTAATTTTTGTATATTTATTTTAAATATTAATATTTACTCATTAATAAAATTTTACAAAATATATAAAATTTATACATTGATAATATATCAAATGTCAATTTAAAAAAATTATATATATATATATATGTGTGTTTGTTAAGATACATTCCTATTTGGATTTTATCACACTCATGGTGCAATAGAATCCAAGCTTTCTTTTTTGGGATCAACTATACCATGAGGTGCATTTTGACATAAAACACCTGCGGTGCACAGGGGCGAATCCAAAGGAGGCTGGCAGGGCTTGGCTCCTCCTCGGTTCCTTAAAATCACCTGTATTTTTACCCAAAAAATTAATAATTTGGTAATTTTTTAGGAATAATTATAATGATATGATAAATATGTAATAAATAATTTTATTTTCTTTATATTTAATAAAAAATTATTTTTAATGTAAGCATTATTATTTCATTTATTTTTAAAATGTTTTTAATTAATTAAACAAACGTGTTGACATTAATTATTATGTCAAACTATTTCTTTTATAAAGATAGAAAAATAAAATTAGAAAATATTCAACGACCTAAACATACTGTGCACATGGGATGAAGATTTTAATTGTACATTATACTTTTGTTTTTTACTTTTTACTGAATTTTTTAAAAAACTCGACCTTTTAATGAAATTACTTTTTTTTGTTTAACTTTTAAAAAAATTAGTTAGAGTTTAATTGTTCTTTAAATATTCAACAAACTTATTTTGATCGTGAAAAAATATTTATACCTTTTTCCTTTAATTACATTTTTATTTTATTTTATTTTATATTAAAACTTTTTATTAGATTTTTTTATCAATTCATCTTATTTTTATAATGACCCTTTCAAAGTAAAAGTCCTTGTTTCGTCCCTGACGATGCACATTGCTCCTTCAATTTGAGATTGGAGAGAAAAAGTTCATTGGACCTTAAAACAATTGATTGTTTTAGTATAAAATTCAAATAAAAATTATTTTTTAATTATAACAATTGAGTGCTTTTTATTACACAATCAACTATTATATTTACTCTCATCACTATAAAAATTAATCTGTCGTTAGAGATGTTAGTAAGTAGAATATCGATTAGGTAAAACATTCTCAATCTTTTTTGAAATTTTATGTTATATATATCTTCGTACTTATATTCAAATAGTTTAAATCTATTTTTATTTTTATTTTTGTAGGTATTTAATAAATATAAATAATTTTTATACCCATAACTTTTTTTAAAAAATAAAAACTAAATTTTATTTTCTTAACTTTGTTTTTATTTTATCTTACACATTTATGTTATTTTTTATAAGTATATATATTAATATATATTTTTTAAATAAAAATATATTAATTTTAATTAATCTAAAATAAAAATTTATAATATTTAATATAAAATCTATTTACTAAATATATATAAATATATAAAGATGGGTACACATATTATATTACCTGCCTCTATATCCTTATACCCTTACTTTTACTAAATTATAGTTATCCCCATCCCCTTTTTCAAAATTCAATATCTATCATCATTTCATTAGAATAAAAAATTAAATTTTTCATCAAATATAAATAAGATTGATATCTTTAATCGCTGTCATTAATATTTAATATAAAATTTATTTATTAAATATATATAAATAAGTATGCGACAGATATTATATTACATGTCTCTATATCCTCATACCCTTACTTTTATTAAATTATATTTATCTCCATTTATTTCCTCAAAATTTAATATCTATAGTCTTTTCATTAGAATAAAAAATCAGATTTTTTATCAAATGTAAATAAGATTGACGTCCTTATTCACCATTATCTTAATTTTACCCTACCTCCATATCGACTTTAAAACTTCAAACATAGTTAAAGCTTCAAAGTTTAAAGTTTTCTTCAAAAAGTACTTTAGCTATCAATCATAATTCCATATGCTTTAATTAGATGAAAAAGGGCCGATTAATGTTAAGAAAACTAGAGCAAATCAAGGGATCCAAAAATTTGCCTTGCACGTGATACTAGATTTGGCAATCCAACCTAGAATTGATGGATTTCGATTCGGCTCGATTTTATAAGATCGATTTTTTTTAAAATTAAATTTCAGATCAGATTGGATCGGATATTAATAAGTAAAAATTAGATTCAAATTTTAGGCAAATCTGACCCGATCCGATATTATATAAAAATTTATTTTTTAAAATTTTTATTTATATATATTTATATATTTATATTTAAAAAATAATATTTTATTAATTTCTAATTAAAGTCGAATATAATTTATACAATATCGAATTCGAGTAAAAAAATTAAAAAAATTTTTGGATCGGATATGAATACGAATTTTATGATTATAAAATCGAATCAAATTGAAATGAATAAAAACTCACATTGACCCACCGTTATCATCCCTACGTGATACATGTACCATTTTGCCAAATTAGAATCCAAATACCCTTTGGCCTTTGCCTCCGTTCATTGAATTAGTTACATGGTTTTTAGCGGTTGATAAGATTTTTTTTCTGCTTTCCAATCAAAGAAATCATGCGTATATGGAGTGAAGCACCTTAAAAGCTGAATTCCCGTTTGTCCAAAGATATTATATGGAAGTGGAAAAAGTTGTACTACTCTTCATTCTCATGATGAACCCAATAAGCCAAATACGTGTTATATTCCATTCCATACAGATATATATATATATATATTTATATATGTTATGAATTAAGCCTTTTAAGCTTTTGTGAGGCGATCTCTGGGAAGCAATCCCATCTCTCCAGTGGCTTCTCCCTTCAAATATATAATATATATTATAAAAAAAATCATTTCTGTTGTTTAAAAAGCTTGTCACATCACACGTCCTTTCCGGAAATAGAAATCTTTTTTGTTATGTTATGCTGAAGCATTTTCGAATCCTTGAGCTTCGAATTAACCCAAGCTCCCCTTCAAGTCCCTTTCTCTCTTTTGTCTATAAAAACTCTCATATTCTCCCAAACCCATTGCATCAAAGCAGCTAGAGAGAATACATCTCTCTCTCTCTCTCTCTCTCTCGATCTTAACTGCTGCATTTGTCTTCATATCATGTCAAGGGTCCCAGAGCCACTTACTATTGGGAGAGTTGTAGGAGAGGTGGTGGATAATTTCTTCCCAAGTGTCAAAATGACAGTAGCTTACAACTCCAACAAACAAGTTGCCAATGGCCATGAGCTCATGCCTGCCGTTATTACTGCTAGACCTCGGGTTGAAATCGGCGGCGAGGACATGAGAGCTGCTTACACATTGGTAAGTTGCAGCAAAACCTTTACTGTACGGTAAACCACGTTAATATTATTACCAAAGTCTAAATCTTGCATAACTTTTTTTCTCAAAGATCATGACAGATCCTGATGCTCCAAGCCCTAGTGATCCATACTTGAGAGAACATTTGCACTGGTTTGTATCAGTATCAGTATTACTAAACTCTACTCTTTTATCTTTACTATACATTTTGTTCAACATGTAGTCTATAATTTCTAAAATGCAAAGCAACGTATCTTCCAGGATGGTCACCGATATTCCTGGTACTACTGATGCTTCTTTTGGTGAGTTTCCAAAACCACAATTTCAATATTTATGGCCTGTCTGAATCATTTATAGCGTATAAAAATGAGTATTTTCCAGTACTCAATCGATTTTAACGCCAACAGGGAACGAAGTTGTTAGCTATGAAACTCCAAAACCAACAGTTGGCATCCACAGGTACGTGTTCATACTGTTCAAACAGAGAGGAAGACAAACAGTGAGGCCACCATCTTCGAGGAATTACTTCAACACCAGGAGGTTCTCAGACGAGAACGGTTTGGGACTCCCAGTGGCTGCAGTGTACTTCAATGCCCAGAGACAAACAGCTGCAAGAAGAAGATAACTCTGACCACCGTAGTCCATACCTACTACTAGTATACTACTCTACTAATAATCCACGTCAAAATATCGTTTCCTCTGCTTTCAAAAGAAAAAAAAAAAGGGAATGTCGACATTGTTACGCATGTTTTCTGTGATGGTATTTCACTTTGTAATCTTGACTACCGTGCGCACTACTGCTAGGTGAGGTGACTATTATAATGTAAGAACTAGGTTTCGGTTGTGTATGTAGACCCCTTTCCCGTTTAAATCAGCGCTTTATATAATAACCCTTTTGGTGGGTACGTGGCAAGCTATGGAAAGGTGCTTACCATGATTATCATGAGGTCCCAAGCTACTCGATTTGATTCAATGTTCTCATAGCCGGATTCTAATTAAGTTTCATAATAATAGTTATGTAATATTAATGCTAATGTGAAATAGTAATTAAATTTCAACGAAGACAAAATTAAAATTTTCTTCAATTTATAATAAGTACATAATAATATTACCAAAAAAACAAGTATGATTTCAGCAAGGGATATTGCCTCCATTAGAAATCCGTCTCTCTCGTCGCCGCGGGTTATTGTTTAGCAATGGAACCTACGACTTAAGCTCTTTCTTGGAATGGATCTCAACCAATCAAGCATTTATTTCTGAATTGCATTGATGTTCTCTGCTGCAGCTCCTCCTGCCCCAAAACATGCTTGAACAGGTTGCTCTCTCCTGTCTTAGTCCTTCAATTTTGTCCTGGTCAATTGAGGTAGCTTGTGAATGTCTTGGAGATTCATCTTGTGTTTCTGTATCTCGAGGTTCAAAAGAGGGGCAAGGACCATCATTGCAGGTGCAAAAAGGGATGGCAACATAAGGAAATGGGCTACAGGTAACTGGACAGAAAATATGTGAAGAAACTGATGCAACGTGATTCTTTCGGATCTCTGAAGCTGGTGACGGGCAATCTGCATCACGAGGATGAAGCATGCACGGGGTACAGAGGCCAAGGGAGAGATGTAGCTTAATTTCTTTTACTGGGGAACTAGGCAATTTGGCAAAGGAGAGAATGCCATGTCTACAGAGAGGGCATGGAATAGACCCTGGAGGGGCCGGCAAATTGGAAGGAATGTGGCTTGTTGAGCAAAGATACAGGGCACACCTTACGCATAGCTCATGCCCACATCCTGAAAAGATAAAATGAATTGATGACAGCCCTTGTAATTTTATTTTTAGCACAGGGATAAATACAGCAGTTTAGTCATATGGCAAAAAAGATACTAGTTGACGCTGATAATAAAAAGAGTTCTGGCTCATTTTGCTAGAACATTTCTGGTCCTTTACGATGTTACTTTTTGATACTTGCATTTTACTTCTACAAACAAATGGCAAATCGTGCGTCTAGACACCAAAGCAAATAGTAATATATTTTGATTAGGAGTTAAGGGTGTGTTTGATATATAAGATTATGATAAGATAATTTTAAATTAAATAATATCATCCTATCTAGTGTTTGATGTCAGTAAGGATTAAAATAGAATAATTTTATTTATTAGTCAAAATTATTCTTCCTCAAAGTTTATATAATTTAAATTATTAATATAAATTTTAAGAGTATAATAAAACATATAAGTTCAATCTTAGGATTAAAAATAATCCTCTCCACTTTGAGAGGATTGAATCATCCTATGACAAAAAGATGATTAATCCTTATTCCAATCCTATCCTTTTTTTTAGACACAAACTAAACATGGTATAAGATGATTTTCATCCTATCATATCTTATCCATCATCCTATGCATCAAACATAGCCTAAAATTGTTAAATTGTTATTTCTTATGCAAAACAAAATACAAGATTTAGTTTTATATAGACAAGTTATCTCAAGGTTGGTTAGTACATCTGGCCTATTTGTTCAAACTTCTCCAAATGTGAATATTTAGAATCTAGATCATATATTCTTGATGAGTTTATAAAAAGCTTCAGTGTCACGTGCCAAGAGTTAAGCTTCAGGTTCGTGCAACTTCAGGACCCCAACATGCACTTATCCAACGTCTCAGATCAACTTACCTGTCATAGGTCACACCCTTGTGAGGTATTGTCTGCTTTAACCCCTCTGGGCTCATGGTTTTGTCTTACAAAAAGTGCCTCACAAAGAGAATGTGATGTGAATCCTTTTATATCCTAGTGACCTTCCTTTTATATCTGATGTGGAATTTAACTCCTCCTTAGGTCTGTAACATTCTCTTCCACCCAATCTCGCGATGCCATCATCATAAAGGCTGGCCACCTTGCCTACCTCCCTTGAGCCGCTTGACGTGAATTGAACAATTTAGGACTGGCTTTAATACCACTTATCATGCCGAGACTTACTTAAGTTCCAACCTCGTGATGCCATCATCATAAAGGCTCGCCACCCTGCCTGCCCCTGCCACCTTGCCTACCTCCCTTGAGCCGCTTGACGTGAATTGAACAATTTAAGACTGGCTCTAATACCACTTATCATGCCGAGACTTACTTAAGTTCCAACCTCGCGATGCCATCATCATAAAGGCTCGCCACCTTGCCTGCCTTCCTCGAGGGGCTTAACGTGGATTGAACGATTTAGGGCTGGCTCACCCTGCCTGCCTCCCTCGAGGGGCTTCACGTGGATTGAACGATTTAAGGCTAGTTGAACAATTTAGGGCTGGCTCTGATATCACTTATCACTTGACAAGTGCCGAGACTTAAGCTTCAGGCTCGTACGGGTCTAGGACCCGGGCATGCACTCATTCGACATATCTCGGATCAGCCTATCTGCTACGATTCACACTCTTGTGAGGTATTATCCATTATAGCCCCTCTAGCCTCACGATTTTATCTTACAAAAAGTGCCTCACAAGGTAAAAATGATGTGAATCCTTTTATATTCTAATAACCCTCTTTTTATATCCAATGTGAGATTCAAGACTTCTTCTTAGATTCGTAACTCTAGAACTGGGTTAACTATATGGATGTTCGACAGCTTGCCTCCTCACTCCCTATAATATCAATAACAAACTTAAGTTTTTCTATGCTATGCCATTAAAAATAAATTCTAAATCTAATTTGAATCCCCTGCCTTCTCTTCCAAATCACCAACTGGAAGACTAGCGTGATAATTAATGTTCATAAAGTCACAAAAAAGGATGCTAAAATCAATAAGGACAACAGTGACAAATTAATTAACATAGTGATCGGAGCAGTTGGCTACTTTCTGCTAGCATTTTTTGCAAGAAAAATGGTACGCCACAAATTAAAATCATGAAAAGACTAAAGAGCAAATTGAAGACATACCTTCAGCAGCAACACCGCACACTCTCTCAAGACAGACAGCACAAGTGTCAGCATCATCCGAGGAGGTTGTTGAGGACTGCAACCCATATTCTCTGCAAACAATAATCCAAATGAAGGCTATGCACCACAAGAACTTTTAGAATGTTGACAAACCTAAAGCATCCAATTACTGTATGTTATGGTGGATATAAAAATGGAAAGATGAGAATAGTGGAAAGATAGAAAATAAATTTTTTCCTTCCATTGATGTGCTTGGTTGGAAAGATAGAAAAGTTGAAAGAAAATGTAATTTTCTTTTCATCTGTTGTAGAGTTAAAAAATGAAAAGAAAGAAAATGAAAATTATATGATTTTATCATTATAATCTTTTTAAAATTAAAAGAAAAAAGAAAAATGTAAAAATGATGGATAATCTTGTAAATATGCAACGCTTACTCACACCTCTCATCTTTCCCATTTTCTTTCTCATTTTCGTTTCTTACCAAACACACTCAAAATTCATTTTCTTTCACTTTTCTACCCTCCCCTGACCATCCTTCCACTTTACCAAGCATACCATAAGGATAAGATTTGCTGGATTAGACACAGATAGCATTTTGGACATAGTTGCCTGCAATATGGCAGTGCTGGCAGTAACAACTCATACCATTTTTATCTAAATAACTGCAAACAAATTTCAAGTCCTATTTTCTAAACTTTTCCTGGTCCATAGGTAAGTCTTTACTGCCAATAATGCATAGTAGCAAAACTAGTACCAAAAAAATATTTGATTGCAAAAATTTGAGAAACGGGAAGAATCCCACATACCAACAGTGGTTAAATGTAACATAGGCAATGTCAATGTGAATTTAAGACAAAGCACGAGCCTTTTACCACTTTGTAATATAATCCATCGTCACTTCCAGTCTCCAAGCAAGACGAAGTTTTTAATATTTTTCTCCTTATTTAAAACAGAAAAACAGGAGGAACAAGCAATCTTAACAATTGGAGTTTTAAACAATCAAGGAACAAGCAATCTTAACAATTGAAGTTTTAAACAATCACATTCTCAGGGTCTAGGAATTATCCAGTACCAAGCTTTGCAACTTAAAATGATGTGACACATGAGATGCCTAATTTTAATGTGCAAGTGCAACATGGAAGAAACATATGCCTCCAAACCAGAAGCTTATTCTGAACCCATCATCTAAAAGTTTATATGATAACCAGTTTCAAATCACCTAAAAGTTACAAACTTGAAAATAGTAAGCCTTGCAAGGAGAATCATTGTACCAGCAAAAAAAAAAAAAAAAGTGAAATGCTCCAGCCACACAAACCACATATTGATTTAATAAGAAACTTGTTAAATTTCCCTCATTTTTTTCTCAATAAATCTCCCATCATTTAGAACTACGTTATGTAACAAAAGATTAAAGTACATTGAATCACCATTATGTCTGCCACCAGAGAAGCTCTCCATTCAAATTTGACCAACTTCAAATTATCAAGGATGTCCTTCATTATTAAAAGCAACATTTTGCAATAATAAGTGCTCAGTAGTGATTGAAAACTAGCATTTTCACCATGGCAGTTATATGATTACCTTGCTATGTTAAGTACACTCGAAAGAGGCAAGGACAAGTAGTTGGAAGAAGGAAATCTGGGTATGGTTGTGTCAGATTTAGGTGCCAGTACGGGCTCAAGCCAATGACGACCCCACGTTCTGGCAACATCAAGTGGCAGCCACCTGAGAAAACATACATAACTCTGTTAGCAATGATACATGCAGAACTGAAATAACCACGGTTTGAAGAACAAACGAGAACAAGAAGAGATCAATAGGCAATTTACCCATTGCAATTCAAAGTCACTTGTCTGGCTCCTCTAGCTAGAAGGATCTGCATATAAAAGAATAACTTAATATCCAATTCAAGAGAAATTACAGATGGGTCAAGAAACATTGTTTATAAGTCTTGCCTGGCAGCACTTCAAATTGCCCCCACAAGCAGCATAATGCAAAGGAGTGCTTCCAGCTCCTGCCCCACTCACCCCCCAAAAAAAGGAAGAAAGTAACCATATCACCCAGAAGTTCAAATCAAAAGGTAATCATGCATGGAAAAAATAAAAAGAAGAGCATACCTATCAAATCCATTGATGTTCCATAATGAAATGTGATGGCAGAGACATTGGCATGAAGGTCTAATAAAAGCTGTACACAAGCAAAATACCCATTTAATGCAGCCATATGAAGAGCAGTAATCCCACTATCAGCTGCCGTATTTACAAACTTTGATAATGCACTGCACAGTAACAAGTTGCATAATTAGCACAATGAAAAAGCAATTGGGAACTATTGGCATTGAAGGTTGAGTAATTCCCTAGCAATTGAGTTCACTTGAAGAAATATGTATGTTATGAGCATCAACTATTTGCACATCCCAAAACTAAGTTTTGGAAATAAAATGTCGTTTTCTTGTGAAAAAACTAAGAAATAAATCAGTGTGGAAACTGAATGTATATTGAAAAACTACTCATAAGAAATTATACAAGAACCTTAAGTTTATATACAACTAACTAGGGGTTAAACTAGGAAACTAAATCTTCCTAAAAAACTAATCCTATAATTGAGAGATTGTCTATCCTAATTTTTTGTCCTTAATTATAGGGATACAAATACTTAATTCTAGGGATACAAATATAAATATACAGATTACAAGATTACAACTAACTGTAAATAAGTATTTTCCCACACTCCCCCTCAAGCTGGTGAATAGGTGTTTTTCATTCCCAGCTTGGAAATAATTTCTTGAAATGTTGCACTGCTGAACTTTTAGTCAACACATCTGCAAGTTAACCCTTGGTTGATACATAAGGTGTACAAATCAACCCATTGTCTAGTTTTTCTTTTATGAAATGCCGATCTACTTCAATGTGTTTTATTCTGTCATGTTGCACAGGATTGTTTGCAATGCTTATTGCAAACTTGTTATCATAATAGAGTCTCATCGGTCATCCCACTTGATCTTCAAGTCTTCTAGGATAATCTTTAACTATAGTAGTTCATAAATTCCTTGAGTCATTGCTTTGAACTCTGCTTCAGCACTTGATCTTGCCACCACATTCTATTTTTTACTCCTCCAAGTCACAAGATTACCACCTAAGAAAGTGCAGTAGCCTGAAGTGGATCTTTTATCAGCTACTGAGCCTGCATAATCAGCATTTGTATATGCTTCTAGAACTAACCCCGAATTTCTTTTGAATAAAATACCTCTCCCAGGATTGGCCTTCAAATAATGCATATACGGTAGACAGCCTATAGGTGCACTTCTTTAAGACTATGCATAAATTGACTTACTACACTCACAGCATATGCTATATCAGGTCTAGTATGTGAGAGATAAATGAGTCTTCCAACTAATATTTGATACATCTCTCTATTTACAGTAGCATCTTCATTAGCTTCTCCAATTTTATGATTAGGATCTATTGAGGGATTTACAGGTTTACATCCGAGTTTTCCGGTTTCCTTCAAAAGATCCATCACATATTTCTGTTATGAGATGAAGATACCATACCGTGAGTGAGCTACTTCAATTCCTAGAAAGTACTTCAATCTCCCTAGCTCTTTTATCTCAAATTCTCCAACCAAACACTGTTTTAGAGATTTCTTCTCTTTTTCATCATCTCCAGTTACAATTATATTATCAACATACACCAATAGAACTGTGACTCTCTCTGAATCAGAGTGTTTGATAAACAATGTGTGATCTCCTTGACTCTGTTTATACCCCATTACTAGCATCACTTTGGCAAATCTCTCGAACCAAGCCCTAGAAGACTGTTTAAGGCTATATAAAGACTTTTTTAGGCTGCATACTTTGTTTACTTCTAGATGACCTCCAAATCCCGGTGAAACCTTATATATATTTCTTCTTCCAAATCATCATGTAGAAAAACATTCTTTACATCAAATTGTTGAAGCTGTCAATTGTAATTTACAGCTAATGATAACAAGATCCTAACTGTATTCATCTTGGTAACTGGAGCGAAGGTTTCCGAATAATCCACTCTATAGGTTTGAGTGTAGCCCTTAGCCACTAACCTGGCTTTATACCTTTCAACAGTACCATCTGCTTTTATTTTACAGTGAAAACTCATTTACACCCCACTAGATTTTTTCCTCTAGGCAACTCTACCAGTTTTCATGTCTGATTTTATTCTAAGGCCTCCATTTCATTTTTATGGCTTGCCTCTATTTTTCACTGGATAATGCATCGAATAATATAGTTAGAACAGAAATAGTATTTAGGCTCACAAGAAAATTTTTGTGGGATAGTGAGAATTTTTCAAATGACACAAAATTAGAGATTGGGTATAATAGATGCTTAATACATTCTCTAGTTCCTTTCCTAATGGCAATAGGCAAATCATAATCACTAGTTATAGTTTTAGGAGATTCATGCTCATTTTGAGAAACAGAGTCAAAAACTGTAGTTACCTCATTTCCAGAGTTAGGATCAAGTTCTTGGACTGACACTGGTTCAGGATCTGGAACTTTTTTCTTGAGTACGCTTGTAATTCCTTCATAAAATCAAAAACAATATTATCCTTTGTCACATCTTTTGTATTTGGAATGGGTTCAGACTCAAATTCAGTGTTTGACTTAGGCTCAGCAGAAATAGGTTTCGACTCAAAAGAATTAATGGGTGTAAATATTGAAGAAGGAGACAAATCAAGCAAAAAAAATCTTTATCCTTATCTTCCATGAATGAAGTCTTCCCTTGAAGATAAGGTTGAGTAAAAAATGGTTTACTTTCTTCAAAAGTAACATCTGCAGACACATAAAATTTTTTGGTAAGAGGATGATAACACTTATATCCTTTTGGAATTGAAGAATACCCCACAAAAAAAAATACATTTAATCGCTCTTGGATCCAACTTTCCTCTGTTATGATTGTGAACATGAATAAATGATGTACAACCAAATATCCTAGGTGTGAGATTGTTTGTGGTATTGAGGTTGGAATAAAATTGTAAGAGTAGTTCCATAAGAGTTTTAAATCCCAAAACCCTTGAAGGTAACCTATTTATAATATGTGTGACAGTGAGAACAGCTTCCTCCCAATAAAATTTAGGTACATTTGCTTGAAAAAGAAAGGTTCGAGTTGTGGCTAGTAAATGACTGTTTTTTCTCTCTGTCACTCCATTTTGCCGTGGAGTATTAACACAAGATGACTCATGAATAATCACCTCTTTCTGAAAATAAGTAGATAAACTCTGGTTGAAGTAGTCTCTTGCATTATCAGACCTAAATCTCTTGATTCTCACTCCAAATTGATTTTGGATTATGTTTTGAAAGCTTAAAAACATACTATTCACATCTGATCTGGATTTAAGTAAAAAAACCCAAGGGACCCTGGTATAATCATCTATAAATGAAACAAACCATCTTGCACCAGAAATATTAGCAATTTTAGAGGAACCCCAAATGTCACTATGAATCAAGTAAAAGGGAGTAGAACTTCTTTTGTTACTGATTGAAAAAAATACATGTCTATGCTTTGCAAGTTCACAAACATCACAATGAAAATCTTTGACATTTAATCCTTTGAACAAAGAAGGAAACATGTTTCTCAAGGTTCCAAAAGAAAGATGTCCAAGACAAAAATGATAAAGCCAGATTTTGTCTTTATTGAAAGATTTTTTAGAAAGAAATGACAAAAGTAAACTATTCTTGATATTACTTATGTTATTTGATGTCTCAAGATAGTATAGTCCATCCTTCTCCTTATCAAGTCCAATCATCTTCCCCGAACTCTGATCTTAAAATTCATAATAAGAGGGATAAAAGTTACTTTGCAATTCATATCTCTGGTAAGTTTTTGTATAGATATCAAATTAGTAGACAATCCAGGAACATGAAGAACATTTTTTAGAATAAACGAGGGATTAACTTGAACATCTCCTAATCCTGCCACTATGGTAAGTGAACCATCTGCAATAACAATTTTCTTATTACTAGGACACAGGTTATATGTACTAAACTTTTGTAAGGAATGTGTCATATAGTCTGTGGCTCCTGAGTCAATGACTCAAGAACTCGTAATAGGTTTAACCGAGACATTTAATCCATGAGAACCGGAAGCTTTACCTGAACTAGAAACCTTACCCAAAGAACATACCACAGTAGGCTTTTCAAGGATTTTCAATAAGTTTCTCAGCTTTTCAATCTCTTCCCTATCGAACTCTCTTTGTTTCTGAGACATCTGTAGTACTCAGTGATTTTTCCAGTTAACATTTCCTCAAATTGGGTGGTAGTGATATCTTTCTTTGAAAGGGTTCGGCAATGAAGACCTAAACAAGATTTGGCAATGAAGACCTAAACAGGATTCGGCAATGAAAACCTAAATAGGATTCGGCAATGAAGGCCTAAAAAAGTCAGCAATAAAGGCTGCAAATTTTGCTTCTCAAGAAGAGCCTAAAGCTCTGATACCATGTGAAAAAACTAAGAAATAAATTAGTGTGAAAACTGAATGTATATTGAAAAACTGCTCATAAGAAATTATACAAAAACCTTAGGTTTATATACAACTAACTAGGGGTTAAACTAGAAAACTAAATCTTCTTAAAAAACTAATCCTATAATTAAGAGATTGTCTATCCTAATTTTTTGTCTTTAATTCTAGGGATACAAATATAAATATACAGATTACAAGATTACAACTAGCTGTAAATAAGTGTTTTCCCACACTTTTTGATTAAACTTTTTCACGATATTACAGAAAAGAACTTGCAATAAAACCTGGACCTAATTCTCCATTTGAATTCAAATCAGAGCCAGCAGGAGCACATGCTGGTTCCGTGAAATAATAAAACACACACCTCTGGTCACTTTTGTTCCTCACACTGGAACCATCCCCTCTTTCACCTTCTATTTGGGTGTTTATAGCTTCGAAAGGAGCACTAGGAACAAAATCAGCTACAACTAGTCTTATACATCTTACATGCCCATTTACAGCAGCAAAATGTAGAGCAGTTCTCCCACTTAGATAATCCGCTCTCATAACCTATAAGGAAGTAAAATCGCAAGGATCATCAATTAATCAAGAAACATTTGAAAAAGTTATACAAAATTCAGAAAGGGAAATTTCATCAAAAACCAAATGATGCTTTCATGAGTGAGTAGCATCTAACCCAGTTATGACTAAGATATTGTTTAGAAGTAATATTTTGAGTAATAATAGAAGTTAAACAAAATGAAACTCACATTGCATCGGAAAAGCAGAAGGGTCTGTACAACTTCCCAGTGCCCATATCTACATGCTTGCATCAATGCCGTCTTTCAAATTCAAACATAAAGAAAGACTAAAAAGTTAGTTATACAGCAGATCGGTTCCATTTGTTGTACAGCATGATAGCAGAGAGGACAATTTCAAGTCCAGATTCTTTGAAGACAGCTTTGGTTTTCCACAGAATCAGATTTGGAATAAAAAAATCATGTTAAATGAATTCTCAAAACCAATATGATAGATTCTTTAGGAAGGTTAGCGAACCAGAAGAATTTTCTTCATATCCAATTTGGATTCCAAATCGCAAATTCATACAATCAAATACCAAAATTTCAAATCTACATAGGAACTCTAAAAACAGCAGTAAACGCACAGCTAAAAATCAGCACAAATAAAACTATCATTCCAAATATTCATTCTCAAATTTAAAAAACAATCAGCAACATTTAAAAAGAAAGAGACACGAAAATAATACAATCCGTTACCTGGCCACAGTAATTCCTGGAATTAACATCAGCTCCATTCTCGAGCAACAGAGCAACAATCTAACAAAAGGCCACCAAATAAGTAAAAGAGGAAGTCAAAACTCAAAATGCAATTCAAAAGGCAAACACCAAACGTTCTACAAGCTAGAGCGAAATTTAACAGGAGATAAAAAAGGAAACCTCATTGTGGCCTTTGGCGGCAGCGAAATGAAGAGGAGAATTAAGGCCACCAAAAGTGGAATATTTAGCAAGACAAGGATTGCAATCCAGAAGCATCTTGGCTTCCACCAGATCCCCATCTCTGGCCGCCGACACTAATCTCTCCCCTGAAGCTGAGCACCCAAATGAATTCCCCATTGTGATTCTCTTCCTGTTTTCTATCTCAGTTATCTGTTTTGAGTTACGACTTATGGAAGCTTTTTTTTTCTTCTTTTGTATGGGAATTGAAATTAGGTCAACTGTCGTAGAACAAAATTCAAACAAAATAAGCAGAAAAAATTCAACCATAAATGGTTGGAGGGGGGATTTTCGTGCTTTGTTCTCTTTCCAACAACAGAGAAAAATGGAAGACTGATGAAGTAGCGGTTTAATTAATTAATTAATTAATTAATTTGTTTTGTTTTGTTTTGTTTTTGTTTGCATTTGGGGGTACGTTGTTTGTTCTGAGTTGGTACAGTTTATGCTTTTTTAGGACCAATGGAGACAGAACAGAGTGTGTTTGGTGGCAAGTAGAGTTGGCATCGGATCGAGTTCGAGGCGGATTTTGCTCGTTTCGAATCTGATCTGATTTAATGTTTAAAAAATTCGAATTCGATCATACCCGAAAATTTTTTTATTTTTTCATACTCGAACTCGAATTCGATCCGATACTATATAAATAGTATTCGATCCGACTCGAAATTAATAAAATATTATTTTTTAAATATAAATATTTAAAAATATCATTATATAAATATATAAAAAATTAAAAAATTAATTAAAAAAATTATTTTTATATATCGGATTGGGTAGGATCGAATTTATCTAAAACTCGATCTCGACCCGACTCCGACCTGACTCTCGATTTTAAAAAAAAAAAATCGACCCTAAAAAATCGAATCAAAACGAAATCCGTCATGTGCGAATTTTTTTACCTTCCCTATTGACAAGCTCAAACTACGTTTACTTTCACTTTCACTTTACCTTTCCTTTTTTATTTCTTTTTTTCTAGTCCTTTTGTTTTCACTTTCCATTTATTTTTGTTTCTTTTAACAAAAATGGATGGCGGACCCTTTCACTTTCCCACGTGAGAAAATTTTAAAGAAATAAAATAAAAATTCTAACTTCTAGTTTGATTTGAATGTACTTATAAGATAATATAATTTTTTTAATTTAAAATTTAAAATTTATGAATTCATTAAATTTTTATTTATGAATTTTTAAAATTTATAAATTGCCGAAGGAATAATCTTGGAGGATTAAAACGCTTTTATCAGGAGTGCTTCTCAAGAGGAGTTTGAAAGCTTCAAAGCCAGCGGTTGTTTTTTATTTTCCCTCTTCTTTCCCTCCATTTGTATTAAAATAATATAAAATTAATTATCTATTAAATTATTAAAATAATTTTCTCGTTGCTTCATAAAAAATTCACATATAATATTTTATCTAAAAATTATTATAATATCTTTAACAATTTTTGACATAATATTAATTATTAAAATATTCTTAACATTATTTCATAAAATTTGGACATACCATATTTCATTCGAAATTTACTAAAATATCTCTATTAAATTACATACTAAAATTTAACATAATATAAAATAAATTCTACATTAAATTACTAAAACACTTTTAATATTTTTTCATGAAAATTTGATATGTGATATTTTATACCTTTATTAAATTATATATTAAATTAATTATATAAAACTTAACTATCTATTAAATTATTATAGTAACCTTATTATTTGTTTCATGAAAAGTTGACGCATGGGATTGATTTTTTTTTTTGAAAAAATTCTATTATCTATAATCCATCTATAATTACATAAAAATTAACTATATGTTAAATTATTATTATAATACCCCTATTTATTTCCCATTTGCTTCATTTATTTTGTTAATAGAAAATGAACTATATGAAATCTATATTGTTGACACATGTCCTTTGGCAATATAAATATTTTAGGGTTTATTAGATAGGGGTGATATTGGTAAATGAAACAGGGAATTGGGGCCAATGGAAAGAGAAAGCAAAAAAGGATGAGATAGCCAGGGACTCAAAATCCCTGACCCGTATAACAGCGGAATGAAGCTGCAAATAAGAGGGAAAAAAAAAAAGAGAGAAAAGGAAAAGAAAGGAAAATGAAGAGCTAGACATGATTTTGGTGTTTGACATTATTAGGAAAGATAAAACTATTCGAAACCGACGGATTTTAACTCGATTCAATCTAATACTTTAAGGTCAATTTTTTTTTTTGAAAATTGGGTATTGAATTTGATAGGGTTGGGTAGGGTAAAAAAATTTTGGGTTCGGGTCGAAGTCGAATTTTAAACAAACTTGACCCGATATATATAAAAAAATTATTTTTTTAATAATTTATTTAATTTTATATTTAATTTTATATATTTTTATATATATTTAATTTTATATTTATATTTAAAATAATATTTTATTAATTTCGGATCGAATCAGATTTGATTTTATACAATGTCGAATCGGATCGAGTTCGAATATTAAAAACTAAAAAATTTATCAAATTCGATACGGGTATAAATTTTATATATTTAAAATCGAATCGAATACGAGACGAACAAAAATTCATTCCAACCCGATCTATTGTCATCACTGAACATGATTGATCTATTGACACTTGAAACTTGAGAGGGAGTATTTTTTTTTTTTTTCGTACTTTGTTTATTCCTCACACATACATGGTAAAACAAATGTATCCAAATATTTTCTTGGAAGTTGAAGCTTTTGCTCTCTTTCTCTTTTTTTTTTCTTTTGATGAATTTGAATTATTTTAATAGATAACTAATCTAATAAAAATATGATACGAAAATTTATAATGAATTTATGTAATTAATTTTCATAATTATTTGTTTAATATAAAATTAGATGTCACAAAGCGAAGCTTGGGATTCTTTCCTTACTTTCACAAGTATCTTCTCCCATCTTGGTCTACTATTATAAGATTAAATTCTGTTTAGCATTACATCTAAGTTTTACTTTTTAAAACGCAACTTTTGAATTAAACAATGCTAAACACATTATAATTTATGTTAAAAGAATTTTTTGATCACTAAAAATGAATTAATTGCAAAAATTAATTAAGAGGTGCAATTAGAGCTCAAAATTTATAGTTTAAAAAAATTTATCAAATACTTATTTAATTATTTTTTTATAAAAATAACATATTTTTCTTTTTCAATATCTTAAACTTTTTAGATATTTTAATTTTTTACAACAAAATTTCACAATAATAATAAATAAATAAAATCTTAAATCATAATTTTTTACAGTAAGTTTTACAACATTTCAAATACACTATTTCAAATCAATTTTTTTCTAATTTAAACAACAATACTAAACTAGTTCGCGTAGTATTATACAGTTGCTTTTTTATTAAAAAAATAAAAATAAAAATAAAAACAAAAACGCTTTCTTACGAGCTACAGCAGAGCCCTTGCCCTGGCCCTGGCCCTGGAGTCCAGGTAGGGCCACCTGGTGCTAAAAAGGCCGCAAAACACTTGCCTTCTCGAGTCTGCCAAAAGAAAAAAACATCTGCTACCTCAAATGTCACGATAACCAGGCGTGCAGATGCTGTAGCGTGCATCATCTTGATCAAACCTAGAAAGATCAGAACTGTAAATGCAGGAAGTAGCTAGCTGCACGCACAGTAATCAACGAAATCTTACTTCATTGGTTCTATGATGATTGGGACGGCTGGTGATTAGGGATGTCAACGGATCAGGGAAATTTTCAGCACCTCTTTCTTTACAGCCTTAGTCAATCAAATAGGGGCTGGGGCGCTGTTCTTAAACAGAAGAATGGTGAGAAAGAGATTGATTGTGGGGAAGCGAAGAGAGGCTCTTCCTCTAGTGAGGTGGTCTGAAGGATAAAAACCTAAGAGTTTAGGTGGCTTGGGTCTTTGTTCTATGAGGGGAATGGCTATCCGCCTCTCATCCCAATCCTTCCGGTTAAGCATACAGAGCAAAATTAAAATCAGGTGATCCGATCCGAAATTTTTTTCTTTTAATATTCGAATCCATATTATATAAATAATATACGATCTCAATTTGATCCAAAATTAATAAATATTATTTTTTAAATATAATTATATAAATATATATAAATAAAAAATTAATTTAAAAATTATTTTTATATAATATCAAATAAAATCAAATCGAATTTGTTTAAAATCCAAACCTGATTTGATTCAAAATCTAATTTTTTAAAAAAAAAATTGATCCTATAAAATCGGATCAAACTCGACGGAAGGGGGTTGCGTTGCCCACCGTGGTGATGATAAATGCAATGGTTTCATGTGAAAAGCTGTGTAGATCACACAGGAGATTAGTCTTAACAAATTTACCTCCAGATTAGGTTTGTTGGTGGGGAATGTGGCCCTTTGATTGGTGGGAAAATGGCCAATTCGGCAGTTGGAAAAAACTCCACCCAAAAAGTACAAAATTAAAATTAAAATAGATTTACGTCTAATTTTTTTTTTTAAATCCTTGATAATTAGTAAAACAAGGACAAAATGAATAGACCATGTATGTTTTTTTTTTTTCAGAAAAATAAACCATACATGTTTGAAAACCTAATTCAGGAAGATTAATAATAATAATAATAATGAGATAAAAGGATTATATAAATAATAATATAAGATGCATCATATTTATTCAAACAATGTCCCCACAATCACTATTGGATATTAAACTGGCATATTCAAATTAGGCCTGTATATTTTTAAAATGATATAATAAGATATAAAAATAATACAAAATAAAAAAAATAAAAAAAAACTTAATTTAATATTTTACTAAAAATTAACAAAAATAAATATATATTTTTTACATTTGACCTGTCAATACAAATTATGATACAATAACTTTAATATTATATATATTTAACATAAAATAAATATAATACAAATTTTATGCCAATATAATCCAAATCAAAACCTAAAATTTGTTTAGTTTAGTGGGAATTAAAGAAAACTAGTTGTTACCTCTTTTTAATTCTAAATTATGACACATGTACCACATCAATGATTTTGATGAAACTAAAACCATCCATAAAACTTGTCAATTATTAAACAGCACAAAATTTTAACCATTTTGCAAATTGATTGTTTTAAGCTTAGATAAAATATCTTCAGTTTGGGCAACTGACAATGTTTAAGCTAGCTGTCAGTCCACGTTTTCTGTTTGATTACAAAAATATCTCAGATTAATAGTAAGTTTATTACAATTTGTTTAGAATCGTTTTCTTGTCATGGAATTATTAAACTTTTGCGTAATAGAATCAACAAATATACAAAGACAAAGGTTTTACTCACTATGAACATGGCTGTTGATTCTGTTATGCCTTGACTAACACGATGACAAAGCAAACAAGCTTTCGGCGTCTGTTGTTATCACAACCACAACCTGCCAAGAATCATTTGCTGGACAATGAATAAACTACTGCCCGATGACGTCTCCTATTTGCATCATGTTCAGAGTCATATGGCACCCTTCTTCCAGGACTCTTGAGGATTCAACAACTGTTGACCAAGAAAGCGAATAATGATCAAATTAATAAATTTCAATTTACTTCATCATAAGTCTACAAAATAAAAATAAATCAGACATCCAAATAAGGGGCTTTATGCTCATCTGTCGTTTTCAATGGTTACAAGTGGGGATATGAATGCTCCTCCAGATACACTTGGGTTGGTTCAAATGCCGTACTTGAAATATACGTGACACACTATAAATTTAAAAGTTTACATCTTTTTTGGTTTTGATTTTCAAACCAAACTTCTGGCCCGTGGCTTTTGTGGACAAACCTCAGCTTCTACTCCACTCAAATGACCTAACTCTTTGCCCTGCTGTTATCAACTCAACATGAAAAGAATTTTCTGGACTGGGAAACAAGATTTTTCTCCTTTTGCGTATTACTTGGCTGGAACAGAGTTGGCAGTCTTTTCCTTCATCACAAGGAATTTAATCCCAGATGTCTAAGAAACCCCCTGTGGTGACCTCCTAGTAGCTTGTAGACATTGTAAAAATTTGAGCATCAAATCCCAAAAGCTAGGGCAGCCCCGTCTGACTTCCTATCTACCTAATTTCACCTGGAGGTCCTCGACTACTCGCAAGAAAGCCATCATGTCATATGAAGTAGGAGATTTACTAGAAGACTCCTAATTAGGATCATCTTTCGGGTTGTTACACCACTCCCTGTCCCGCATAACTTTTACATCATCTCGTCAAGACCCAATACAAACCAACCAAAGCAACTTTCAGCCACAAAATCCATCAGGTCTGCCTTTAGTTTATAACATGACAGCCAGATTAGTAATGATAAAACAATTCTTTTAACAATATGCAAACTTTATATGATGCCTATTTAGAAGAAATAATTCCAGTCGGGTTAACCAAATAAGTAGACCCCTCAAAGTTCATTCCATAGATGCCAAAAATGATTAAAAGAAAACTTTAAGCCAGTGATTTTGATTAAAATCCAACATATTTATCTTCTTAAAACCTTGTCATACTAGACTCATCAAGGAACCAAAAATAATGTCATTTGCAACACAAATGCTAGTATTTGATTAGACCTTATTGTACATCTATGCATTCCTTGAGCAACTCACCATTAAGGATTAGTCCCTACAAAATGAATTCTAGACTAGAAAATGTAAATGAAAATTCTACACACATTATCATGGAACAAGGACACCTATTTCCAGCCCAAGACCTGCCTAAAATTCTCCACAAGAAACAGTAAAAGCTTTGCACTGAAAACAAAACACCCATCCACCTGCTTAACCCCACCCATTATTTTTCCCTTTGTTTCTCTTTCTTCCAAACAGAAAGAAAGAACCACTATATAGAAATTTGAAAGGGAGAATGGAACATCAAAATACAAATGGAGGGAAGGGAGGGGGAAAATAAAAAACAACTGCTAACTTTGAAGCTTTCAACTCCTCTTGAGAAGCACTCCTGATAAAAGCGTTATTGGTTTCCAAGAACAGCAACAAATAACCACATATAAAGAAAAAAATCGAGTATGCAATGGAATAAACCAACAACAGACGGTTAACACACCTCATCATGATACCAACAACAGAACACTAAACTGAAGAAAGGAATTGGTAAAATGAAAGTAAAAAAGAATAATCCACTCTCCGGATACTGTCCATACAAGCACATCACCAGTATACAAATATGTAATATACATATATAATTGAGAATTTGAGAATTGTGAGACTTACTTGAATGCATAAGCAACTTCATGGAACAAAAACTTCAGGTAGCATCTTATTTCCTTTACCTGCTGAAATTTTGTGTCAACTTCTTTATTTGGTGAGTAACACAGGCAAGAAGAATGGCAGTACATGGTTTCAGCTTCAATCTTCCATCACTAAAATTTAACCAACCTCAAGTATTCTCCCACTCTGACAGGTCCATCAAGGCCCCAAGTTATTATTAAACACACGAGATGCTACTTCCACATACAACTTAGAAATTCATTGACACTTTCCAGCTCCGACATGGCAATCATTAATCCAAAATGTTCTCTGGATGTTAATGCTTAGTGAATGCAAAGGCAGTCCTGCATTGTAACATCCGGCTGGTTATAAGTTCAATGTTACCAAATTAAAAATGAATGGAACTACAAAATTAGGACTTGCTATTCAGTTACACAGGTATCCTCCTTTTAACCCATAGTTTCATCAAAATCCTCATTCCCATCAATATAACAAGATTCAATGTCGGAAACAAAATCTGAATCTGAACCATCCTTTTCCTCCCCATCTTGCCTAACTTTACCCTCAACCCCAAATCTTCAAAATAATTCTCCATATAGTCTCGTCGAACACATGCCATTTCATCACCATCTCTATCCCTCCTATAGCTAACCAGTTCCCTTTCCACCTTTGCCTCCCTAGAGCTTAACAAAACTAACTCGCCCAACTTCCTTCTCGCCAAATACAAATAATTTGGCTCAATTAACTCTCCTTTCTTATAAGCCTCTCTAAGAAACACTGTATGAAGCTTCCCATAATTTCCCCTATTGAAACATAAAATATTCCCTGATGCTGAAGCAAAAAATCCTTCAACTTCTCAGCGAAATTTATCACCATCCTAAAATGTGCAATCCTCTCCAACGTAATCTTCTTCTCCACAGTCAATGACAACAACGTGAATAGTTGCCACTGCCCTCTTTTCCATCCTCTTCTGAGCTTCTAATGACCTCAGATCATAACCAGACACATCCTCATAAGGCAATCAATATGGAACCCGTTGCCACAACCAAACTGCAATCCTTTAATATTTACCTATCTTAAACCCAGGCGGAAAATTCACAATAAATGAGAACCTAATATCCTCAGCGTCAAATCCTTTTTCTCTGTACTCTCTCTCCCTAACTTTCTCTATATCACAAACAGCTAACCTAGGATCTCTTTCAACAATATCAATGTACTTATTCCTAGTCTCTTGTGCATTAAAAAATCTAAAAAATTGTGGATGCTTGAGAATTACCAAGTACGCAAAATCATCAGGCAACCCGAATTCTTTCATTGCAATCCGAACGTGGTCCAGTCTTAAACGACCCATATTTGACATCATAAGCAACTTCCTTAGCCGGGTCACCGCAACAGGAATCCGGGCATTGAGTGCTTCTCTTTCTTGCTCAATGTGGAGAAGTGCCTTCCGCGTAAGCCTGCAATAGAGGATTCTCTGAACTGGGTGCTCAAAGATTTCAAAAACGTGAGGGAATTTGAGGAGATAAGCGCCGGCTTCTTTTTGTTTGAAGCCGAGACCAAGGCGACGAGCGACAGAGTCGAAACGAGTGATGGGCAGGTCTTGGCTTGGTTGGGAAAGAATCAGGGATTGGAATTTGAGGACTTTTCGGGTCTCTTTCTCGACTTCCATATAGTTGTCGTAACCCTGGTCGCGTACTCTTTGCTGTTTCTGGGGATAGAGGTGGATTGAGACATGAGCTTTTTGGATGTGAAGTTGTAAAAGAGAGTTAAAAGGAGTGGTCTGAGAGGCGTTCGAGTTCTGGGTTTGAGAAGAGTGGAAGTGTAAGTAAGGAAAACCACGATTGTTTGAGATTGACTAGTGAATTTTATCGGGGTTTAAGGTTTTGGATTGGAGTGGCGGAGGATTGGAAACTTGCAAACGCAAGGGACGAGTTCTGTCATCCGTGTAACGGAAAAAGTGTTTGAAGCTGGGGCCGGGAAACATGGAGGACTATGCAGATGGCGCCTTAACCAACTGGCAACAGGCAATGTTATATGGACTCAGCGGGGTCCGATCCAAAAAAGGGTTGCTTGACTGTGGGCTGGGAAAGAGCACCGAGCTAAGGCTAGTTAATTGTGGCTCTACCCCTAGTTTATATATGGGTCATTTTGGATCTAAATCCTGGGACTTGGAAGAAAAAAAGATGTTTGATTCTGTTTCCATGATACCCCAAGTGAAGTTTGCTCAATAAAAATGTAAACCAGTAATAATTCTTCGTTCTTCACTTAAAAATCAAGATATTTTGCAGATGTTACAACGTAATTTCCCAGTCCTTATCAGCATTCAGCAATGCAGCCAAAGCTCCTTCCATTTACCATATTCCTAAAGGGGCAAATGTGCCAAACTACCACAAGGATCTTAATATGAGCAATGCCTTTATTGCCGCCACCATCACAGGAATCTTTTAGCAAAACTAGTTTTTATTAAAAACAAAGTCTTTATTTTATTTTCTTGGGGCTGGTTTTACGGAAAAACATAAAAGTTGGTTTCACAAAAAACACTTGGGAGTTGAAGAAATGCTACATTTTCAGCTCCACACCAACTCAGAAATCTAAATTAAACATAGCATTTAAACAAGGGAGATAGAGATTATACATGCACCACATAAAACCTAGAGAAAAGCCAACAACGAAAGCAGGGGTTAGGACCCGGTGCGGAAGATTCCAAGGTTAATTCACATAATAAAATAATTAAAACCAAACTGTAAACAAGTAAAGGACAGCTGGCCCAAGATTTTGATTAAATTCAAAACATAAAAACCAAGACCAGTCTTGCAATGTCTACCTTGTGTTTCTCTATAACTTTGACTAATTAACAAAACAGGTTTACCATCTGAGAATTCAGAGCTAAGCATCTCAAAGGTCGACCAAGTCAATGCCCGAACCATAATCCCCTGCCCAAATGTTTCAAGTATGAAGCAAGTAGCATGCTGTTAGGATTCACGGCAGAACAAAAATTCTCCACAACTGGTTCGTACTTGACTTGAAACCTCATTTACACGAACTATCATCTCAAGCTCCATTTCACTTCCATTCTATATCTAATTATCTCCTGTACTTTCCACATCTTTTTTTTTTTTTTTCTGCTTTTCCGTTCACAAAAGCACAAAAATATAAATGTAAATTAACTACGCAGCACCTTACTCAGCTCCAGTTATGTTACTGCAAGGGCAGCTTTGATTTTCTGAATTGTGCAGGAGATGAGATTGTTAACAGTTTCAACTGACTCCATTGTTAGCTTAGCTGTAGGAGCGCTATTTACCAAAATCTGAAATCCAACTGTAAGTAGGCATCCACCACTTATACTCCCATCAATGTCAGGTTTCACCAAAGGTCCATTAGAGTTGCTTTGCCCAACATGATTATTAGGTGAAATACAAGGAAGAATGGCAAATCCTGACGGTAAGAGTGCCACATATGTTGAATCACCACCATTCATCACCACACTCATTGAAGATATGTCAATGGGTGCATACACTACCAATGCACCAGAGACATCACTCCATGTTTCTTGTAAAATTAGCATGTTGTTCTCATTTGCATTAATGGCCTGCAAGGTTGCATGAAAAGAAGGCATACATCTCAAACAACGAAAAAGACATGGAGAGAATAGATAAAAGAAAATATAAGATATCTGCAGTCTCAAGTCTAATAAATCTAGATGATGAAATCTTACACTGCCACGAAGGAGAGAGACATAGTTGCCATGTCCCCGGCCCTTGGCAACTTTGACCATCTCCTGCATTGGCCCACCATTGGACAAAATGTCCCACTGGCTCCGCATCTGTTCATCCCGCAAGAAATCAAACAGACTTTTCTGATTTATCAGCATCCAAACAGAAGTAGAAGCACTCAACACAACCCCTCGAGGCTCACCAGGGTCATTTATATTCTTCCGGGTCATCACCCTTACATCTTCACCCACATTACCAACACTAAGCTTGTCCCATTTATGCATGCTTGAAGCACAAACTCCAGAGCAGAAGTTATTTGTCATGCGTTGTGCAAGCTTTATCATGCTTTTCCTCCCAGCTGGAGTTATTCCTGTGGCATGATGGCATATATTAGAAGATGAACATGACTTTAAAAGTATTTGTCAAAGAAGTGAAAGAATGAAGTAGCGGTAAAAAAACCTGTATTATCTTCACCAGGGATGTTAGGAGACATTAGTACTGCCAAGCAATCAGATTGCCTTTGGAGAGTGGCAACCCACCTGTGTGCACCAAAGCCAAAACCAGAACTGAGTAATGGCCGCAAGAGATAGTGAACAGCACTGTCATCATATTCTGAGTGTTCAACCCACGTAACCTGCATATAATTATTTGTAAGCATGCTTGCTCACGCCAAAAATCAAACTGATCATCATGAGTTCATCTAGAAGGCAGTTATAAATGTATGGAAAAACGAAAAAAAAAAATGTACATAGGCTCCATTCATCTCAAATTTTAAAATTGTTCAATAAAAGATTTTCTAAGTCGATATATGTTATGATAGTATTAGATGAAGCAAAGAAAAAAACTGTTTCCTCTACTATTGAAGGGAAAAGTTCAGTAAAGAACCAATATCTAGTTGGTGATAAAAGCAAGTGTAGATTCATAATTCCCTGTATACTCAAAAATAGGTAAATTTCACCAAACTGTTGAGTGAATTAGAAAATTTTTGTTGTTATTTTGTTAAGAAGAAATATCCTTGAAACTTCAAAACACTGCTGCATAAAAGAAGGCAAAGACAACATCAGAGAGGGCAAGAAATCAAGTCAAAATGTCAAGGGGCGGTCCTCGTAGAATGGGACAGAAAACGTCAACAGAATAAGAAAATATAAGTGTGAAACTTGAATAGAAAATTTCTGTCAAATTTTAGATTAAGAGTGTGGCATTAGTAAAATAAAGTAAACAGAGGCCATAAAACATGGGGTTCTAAATATTACAAGATAACGACCGGATCCAGATCATATCAGCTCGTGGACAATTAAAAAGGTGTTAAAAGAGAAGGAGAGATAGGAATAGAAACATCAAAATATAATATATATATATATATATATATATAGAGAGAGAGAGAGAGAACAATGATAGACAATTCCAAGGATTTACCTGATATGAAGCTTACGATTAAGGTACACTCAAGATTATACTAATACAAGCTGAGGCTCTAACCTTGACTAGATCAACTCTGCATAAGCATCTTCTTGAGGAAAAATATAATTAAAGCTTCATATTCCTAGGTGGAACCCTACTATTTCTTATTAGCCACCCCATCAATGAGAATGGAAATTTGGTGAGTTATTAAAGGAGTATTAAATTCTGCAAAGCACAAGTCAAGAGAGATTGAGACTGAAGTCCAAGTGCATATTAAATTTAACCTTCATTTAGCCTCAACCAAACTCAGAAGTTTTAGTTATAAGAAAAACATATAAGTGCAATGCAAGCTCAATGAGCATCAAAATGTCAAGTACACATTTCATTTATAAAAAATTTGGAGAACAAAATAAAAGTTCAGATTAGCAAATACCTTGGAGTACTTATTGTCCATATCTTGGATAACACATCCAGAAGGAAGCCTCCTGCAGTTTGGAAACATCTGTATATTTGCAGCATCTTGGCTAGCATCAATAGAAACATCAACCACAGCCCACACACCCTCCGATTGCTGCTTGCAGAACCTGATGAATCTCACTTGACGGACAGGAACCAAAGGTGAAAGCACTTGAAATTCAGCATCCATCTGCAAAGTGTGATTTCATAAGGCCTGGCTAAGCAGAAAAAGAAATAAAGACAGATGGCAAAGAAATGTACCACTTGCAATGTGTTGTCTCTGGTTACACCTTTACCACTGGATATCACATCAATGATTGCTGCTCTAGAAATCATGCAGGGAAACATTTCTGCCCAACGATTCTATTCATAAAGTAGCAGAAAAACAACTTGTCAAACAACAATTTTCAAACATTCTTATTTTTTAAGATTCAATCCATAAAATCAGCAATGGACCATTTGCAGCAACCAAAAGCACCATTTCTACCAGAGGTGAAGTTAATTTTACCTGTGTAAAATATATCAAATGAAATGTAAAGGTGACATGTAAGAAGACAAAAAAAAAACTACTGATGATTATCTGCAACTTTTTCTCATGGCCTCTAAAAAGGAGGGCATCAAAAGGGCAAAACAAATAATAAAATCCTAAAGGCAGACAGAAAATTCAATAGAACAACAAAAGCACTGCAACAAGTTAATGGGTGGCATACTGCATCCATTAACGTCTCTACAAGAGCCAAGCTGTGAAGGAAAACCAGGCCAGTTTCCCTTGTAGCCTCAGTTGTGTAGCCACTAGGTTTCATGCCAATGCAAGAGGAGAAAGTCCTACTGTACTCCTCGAAATTCAAGGTTTCCATCCCACCATCCAAGCCTTTGAACCAAAGAGGATCACCCATCTGCGCCATCTTAATTAATTCATCCATAGCTGCCAAAGCAACACCTGCAAAGGCTGACCTGTCATATGGCATCTCATTGGCCATAGGTTTCATTAACGGCACCATAGCCCCATCACCAAAGTCAAATCCCATTGGTAATGTAGTGCCTGCATTGTTCAAGCCACCAAAACCATTTCTTCCTACTGCAAGCTCCAAATTGGAGTTTAAGCCCTGGGAAGGAATAGGACTGGCCGAGGACGAGAAAGGCCTGCCCAAGAACTTGTTTGTTAAAGCACATACCCGGCTGAGTTCGTCTTTTAGTCGAGCATTCTCAATCCTAAGTTGGTGTTGTTCATAAGATACTTCACCGGGCACTGCTGGACCACCACAACTGTTGCATATCGGGCTAGTCATGGCCTGCTTCAAAAAATCATTCTCGGCTAGGAGTTTATCATTTTCTTGTCTAAGAATTAAATTTTCGTGGCGTTCCAATTGGGTCTGGTTTAAACGATAAATTTTCATTATTAGCAATCTCGAACAGCAGTTTAGAACTCAATCATCAAGATTAAAAAAGAGCAAAACAGATTATCAACTTACCTTCATTTGGGTTCTCCTGTTTTGAAACCAAAATTTTATTTGCTTGTTCTCTAATCCTAGCCTCCTGCTAAGCTCCATTCTTTGTTTTTCATCAGGGTGAGGACACTCTTTGAAGAAGCTAGAGAAAAAATGCGATAAAAACAAAGAAAATAACTTCAATAAGCAAATCCATGAAAATTACAAATAAAAAAATTCGTTGAAAGAAATGAAAGATAAGCAACCATACGATTCAAGCTCTTGTATTTGATGTGGAGTGTGCCTGTGGTACTTCTTCTTCTTAGGCGGTCCATCAGCAGATGCATCCTGATCATCACCGGATGCACCTTCAAAATTATCACTTCCAGACCTACTCTCATATCCATCCTCCTTCATCATCCCTACTAAACCCGGATCAAAGTTTTCTCTAATCAGCCCCATCTCACCATGACCGTCCATTCTTTTCTGCACCAAAAGTAAGTCCCCCTATTAAATGACCCATCTTTAAAATAATAACAAACATACAGGCAAGATCAAAACAAAAAATAATAAAGTAGGTAATAAATTAATTAAAAGACAATGCACCGGATTCTAGAGAGAGAGAGAGAGAGAGAGAGGGAGACGGGGCAATACATAGTATAGAGAGAGGGAAGGAGAGCTTTGCATAGATTTGGGAATATGTTGGGTGAGAAGAGGTGGCTCAACAATGGCACCACTTAGCATGTTCCTGTGTGGAACAATATCAGCCACAACAATCCTTGCACCCACACAACCACTCTCGCTGCTGCTACTACTCTTGATTAAACCCCGAAAACTCATTAAAATAGGAAAACCAAAAACAATTCTTTTTTTTATCTCACTTCCTCTATTTTTTTCATTTCATTTGTATTTCTAGGCTCTTGGAAATGGCCACTATCACTTTCACAAGGTTATGCTTCAATTTCGTTTCTCTTTCTTGTCCATAAAGTTTGACTTTACAAACAACACCCAGATTGAGCTAAAAGTCTAAAACCTTTTTAACAATTTCATCTCAACAAAGACAGAATGAAAAAGACCATGCATGACTGAACCCAACCTCTCTCTCCCCGCCTCCTCTCTCGAAGACTCTTATTTTTCTCTCTCAAGAAAGTCAGTTCAAGAAAGAGAAAAACAGTGGAGAAACAGTGTAGGAACAGGACAAGAAATACCACTTTTTATCTTATAATGATCAAAGAGTTCACAGCTTCTTTCTATCTCTCTACATAAACTTAGCCTAGGAAAATCTCTAAAAACGCATAGAAACACCGACAAATATGAAAAACCCTAATTTTCCCAGCAACACGTTTGACCAATTGTTTGTCAGTATATTTGACAAAAATGAAAAGGACACCAGAAAAAAAAAAAGTTAAAGACGTATATATAATATCATAAACACCGGTAAAAGGGAACTCAAAAAGATGGCATGGATAAAAAAGCAAAAGCCATAAACCAAAACACAAAAAGACCAAGCTTGTATCTATCACATTCACACTCTTCAAATACTATATGATGCAGTAAAATACTGAACCAAAATCAAAGCATAAAAAGACCCAGTTGACCAAAATTTCTATCTCTTTCAGTTGCAATGCAAGAAAGAAACAGGCTGTAAGAAATAATTGCCCAAAAACAAAAACCAAACCAGTACGGAGATTAAAAACATACAAGTTATAATACCTTTTTAATTTTTTACAGTAACCAACTAAAGGTCGGTGTTTTGGCACAGAGAGGAATCAGGATAGATACAGGTTGTCAGATCCTTCCCTCTCTCTTTCTTAATTGTTGGGATCTGTAGAAGAGTTAAAAAACAGAAGCTATATAATAAAATATTAAGCGGCTAAGATTAAAAGAACCCATGAAATCAATAAATAAATAATGGGGTTTGGCAGTAAGCTAACTTACTAGGAGCAAAGGGAGAGAAAATCAATGGTCAAACACGTTAACGTTTTGTTGAATATCCAAAAAGTCGGGATTTAATTAAAAAAAAATGAAAAACCCTCTTAAACCCTGGTGAAAGCTGCAGCGATCTCTTTTATTTGTTTCTTTTCAATGGCCCTTTCTTCTCCTCTCCTTCCATGCGCCAATCTTTGCTCTTTCCTTCGAGGAAAAAGGTCAATATTTAAATATGAAGAGAGGGAGAGAGAGAAAATGAAGAGCTTAATACAGTGTGGGACCCATTACCTTCCAAAACTCTGTTCGGGATGTCCGCCCTTCTCTCCTTGACAGCGCGTGCCTTTTCGCGGGATTTGTCCTTTCTGAACTGGATCCCTTAGAATCCTGTGTGCTCGTACTTCCACAAACTCGCCGACACTGGCTAAGGAAATCCATTCCACAACTGACACGTATAGGAGAGGACAATACTGCCGTCATTTTGGAAAAAGTAGCGTTATTATGGTACTTTTTTATTTACGGGGACACGGTTTGGCCGTGACATTAGGCCTCTGTTCTAACCCTAATTAGGACGTCAACTTGTTTTTTTATTATTTTTTACAATAACAACTGAATTATGGGATTTATTTTTATATATTTTTAATATTAATGGATTTTAAAAAAAGAAATAAATGTAGATATAATTAAAAAATAAAATAAATTAATTGAGTTAAATTTTAAAATTTTTAAATCTTTTATAAATAGCATAAAATTAAAAAAAAAATCATAGCAATTAGTGATAAATCGATCACAAAATCTATATATGATTTAGGAAAAGGATATTTATATATGCGCGAGCTATTCACTATAAATATCATTTCATTGTAATAATTTCATAATCCCAGATCTTCTTATGCGTTTTCTGCTCATCGTAGCATGTCCTTAATAACACACAATCTTTTGGACGTTTGAAAAACATCAATTCTTGTTTCTTAGTTGCATACATATTGAAGCCCTTTTGTTACTCTTTTTAGCTAAGAAAGGGAAAAAAAAATAACATTCAATCTTTTAAGATATCAAAAGAGATTTGTGTGATGGTGAATCAATGACTTTAATTGTTCTAAAGTATGGAATCAAATATTTCCAATTTAAGACTATAATAATAATAATTTCATATAAAAAAAAATTAGCAACAAAGTTGATTTGAGAATGCTTAAATGGAGTTTGGAAAGTTACCCTTTTGACAAAAGCTTAGAGATTTGAGAGTTAAGAGCATATCATCTTTCTTTTGGAATGATATTGATTGGTATATATAATAAGTATGATATTTAGGAAATTGCATTTTAAAAATGTTAAATTATGAGATTTTAAACGGATTATCAAATCATTGCATTTTAATTCAATTGAATATGAGTTCCAACACATTAAGTAATATACCAGATAAACAAATACATGGTAAACATTTTTTTTTCTACTAAAACAATGTTAGTATTTCTGGAAAACCGACCAAATGCTAATCTAAATTACAGTTTTACCAATGCATGAAATATAAGTTTGATCCATTCCCTTACCTTTAAAAAAATTAACAAAAGAAAATAACAGATTGATTTAGAAGATATTTGACATTCCATACGTATTTGTCAAATTGTTCATGGTTAAGAGACACATTATGTATTTTAATTGCCGATCATTGCTATTGCAAGTTTTGTTTGTACAAAGTTGGTGCCTAGATTAGGGAAACAATAATTGTCATTGTTGACTGTTGAGTGCTTATGTGTAAGCTTTGAAATCGGGAAGGTCTTGTTTGGTGGTAAAATTTGGCAATCTGTTTGGGTTTGACCAGTAAAACGTTATTTTATACTGGGCCATTCTTTGTTATGTCCTATGAAATTATGCTTTGATGGGCAGCCTTAGGCCCATCGTTTCTGCAAGATACATGTCTCACACGTTGTAATGGGGCCGGGATCAAGTAGTCCAGAAACCAACTATAAATGGACGATAAAATTTGTAGACCAGGGCTTTCATTTTTACCTCCCGCAAGAACAACTCTTTGTCAGACTAGCGGCTGCAGCCATGGTTCTCAAGTTCGTTTCTTCTCTACTTCTCTATTATTTGTTTATTTACTTATTTTAAAATTGCATTTTCTTAACCATTTTCTTTCACATTCTTTTAATCTAATGGCTGTTTGTTTCCTGAGTCGATTTTGGTAAAGTTGGAAACTTAGATTAAATGGCTAGACAATTGCAAACGTAATGCACATTTAAAAAAAATCAATCTTAGTTTCGGTGAAGACTTGTTTCATCAAATACTATGTACTTTTGTTGAACAGTGGCTTTAAAGCTTCGGCTTCGATGATTATCTAGTATGTTTAATTTGGTAAAGGGTACTATGTTTGCATGTCTGAATGCTTGTTTGGCAGTAGATGGCTGTTTAATATGTGAATTTGTTTAAACGATTGGAAGGTTTTATGAAATTGCATGACAAGTGTAGTTTAGATTGATAATATCCTGTTTTCTTGATGGTGTTACTTCTAGTTTTCATGTCAATAACTTTTGTATTTGTAATTTTTAGCTAGCTTGATCGAATGGATTTATCTAACTAAACTTAGAGTACAAGTGATTAATGTTAATTGGTAAATTTGGCCATTGCAGGACTGAGTTATGCCGCTTCAGTGGGGCCAAGATATACCCTGGTAAGGGTATAAGATTTGTTCGCTCAGATTCTCAGGTAAGCTGCAGTGAGCTTTACACTTGGTTTCATTGAAGTTCATTTTCATTTTGGTATTTGCTTTTTGTTTTTTACTTTCTCTTTTTTGTTTCCTGCGTTACTTTTATTGACCCTATAATGAAATTGATGAATATTATCCTTTCATTATTTAGGTCTTCCTCTTTGCCAACTCCAAATGCAAGAGGTATTTCCACAACCGTCTGAAGCCATCCAAGCTTACCTGGACAGCAATGTACAGAAAGCAACATAAGAAGGTCAGTGTTTATTTTCTTACCTCTGGATTCTATAGAAATATACCTGAAATCTATCTTTAGGAAATAAGCCCTCTTCTACTTTAGCATAGAGGAAGTCTCTAGGTATTTCTTGTTTTCTAATTTTCATTTTTGGTTGCCAAAATCTGCAGGACATTGCTGCAGAAGCTGTTAAGAAGAGGCGTCGCACCACAAAAAAGCCCTACTCAAGGTCCATTGTTGGTGCTACACTAGAGGTCATTCAGAAGAGAAGAACTGAGAAACCTGAAGTTCGAGATGCTGCAAGGGAAGCTGCTCTACGGTATGTTTACACTGTTGTTGAAATTACTTTGTAATGGAAATTCATTTGCATTAGAAAATTTTGTTTTCTGAATCACATGATCTCTTCTGCAGTGAAATTAAAGAGAGGATTAAGAAAACTAAGGATGAAAAGAAGGCTAAAAAGGCTGAGCTAATGTCCAAGCAACAAAAGACTCAAAGTAAGGGCAATGTGCCCAAGAGTGCTGCAACAAAAGGCCCCAAGCTTGGTGGTGGTGGTGGAAAGCGCTGAAACCTTTTTACTCTTGGTGTAATAGAAGTTCTCAGCAGTTTTGTAGTATTTGATATTGATATTGGTTGCCCTGGGTTTTTTGTTGACTTACACTGAGCAAATTTATTCTTTCATGTTTTATGATTGTGGGTTCAAATGGAGAAATGAAAGGGATTGTGGATCCATATGGATCTTATGTATTTTATTTGATGTCCTAAACAAGTAGTTTTGTTACCTAATTGTGGCATTGTTTAGAAAGCTGGAAAAGCATTTGCTTCTTCATGCATGCGAGTTGTGTGGTCCTGAGCTCATGAAATGCCGTACTATAGCATTGAAGAATCTTCAATTCGTAGTGTATATTATAGCTCCTAATTCCTTGTTCTCCGCGCTATCTCAAATAAATTATTTAGTTACCTTGTAGGGTTGATTACTTCCGCCTGTAAGTTGTTGCAGAGTTGGGGTAGTTTAGAAGAAATTTTCGCATTACTTATCGATGAACCTTGAGAATTAGGTTTTTTCTTGTAGGATGTTAGATCTTCAAGGTCCTTTTTTTTTTTTTTTTTTTTTAAAGAAAAGGTCAGCCAGGGGAAATTGTCTCAATCCGAATACCAAATTTGCTTTTGGGTATGGGGCGTATGGCCTATGGCCTTGGTTTTCATATATGGGCATGTCAGTATTTCTTACCAGCTTGTTTCTACCCTGACAGTTGATGATAATGACAAAGCTCGAGCTGGAGGATGATGACCATATTCAGACATGAATTTTTTTTCTTTTCCTTGCGCCATTCAGACACGAATTAAATGATCAATATGTTCCTTTTTGATAATTTTTTAAAATTCTAAATTAAGTGTTGCTACCCTCTCCTTTTTTTATACGGTGGAAGGGGGAGAGCTGGGCCAAGCCAAGCCAAGCCAAAATGACGTTACTGAAGGAGTACGAATGCGACAAATCATGATCGCCACATGGCAAGAACCAGCGAAGAGTGGCATGCAAGATATTACGAGCAACTGACCCACCTGAACTCTCTAACTTTCTCAGCCAACTAATGTACCGACCACTGATCTATCCAAAACCAAAAGTGCCCCTCAGAATACTACTACCAAACAGGTGTACACGTGCACCAACATTGTGTAACGAGACAGTTACTACTTACAAGCTCCACCATGCTGTCGTTATGAATCTAGTAAGTTGTACAAGCTTTGCTGTTGCTGTTGGTTGCCACTTTACTCTTGATTCTTTGCAGGAAAGTTTTGATACCGCCAACCAAATAACCAAGTAGAATAAAAAATGACATCAAGAAAATTGCTTTCATTTTCAATGATTTGATTCAAGTACTGTTGGGAATTGCCTTGCTGGCAAGCTGGCACCTTAGTTTCTTTCCTCATTATAAATTCGCTAATTTTCCAGCTAGGAAGCAAACACTGGATTGTTCTAACCATGTTGGCCAGTCTGTTTTTATTGATACTTATCTTATTCAACTACTTTGATGTTAACGCGCAGAGATGCAAGCAACGGTGAGAAAATAGGTAAACTGGGAGTTTTGTACGTACGTGATGATGTGTTTTAGGTTGAGATGTTATTATAGAATTCATACACTTCAGCCTATAGTAATTGATGGTTTTGACGAGGTGCAAGTGGCTAGGTGGTGGTTTCATGATTGAGTGAGACTAGTCCATCGGATGAAGCAATCTGCATCATTGGAGGGAGAGAGCGAGAGAGGGCTTATCTCTATGGCAAATGATGCGATAGGATTCGGAAATATGAAATTATTAGTGTGGAAGCCAAGTAAATATCTTTTTCATGGAGTAAATGGATTTTCTTTAAGCATCGACTAAATGGATTTATACCTGATACCCGTATAATAAAACTTATAAACAAAGCTATTGGCCTTATTTAAATTATTATGGCAAAAAACAGTGCTGTAATTTCATTGCTTTTATTCATTCAAAGTTTAATGGAAATCTGATGGAGCCATGAGGAATGACAACTAAAAGCAAAAGTATTGACTAACTTTAAAAATTTGTAATAAAATTTACGCAAAACAGAACAACGAGTTTGGAGAATATTTGAGTGCTCAAAAATCAATGTAAAACAGCAAAAGCATCATATTCCTCTTTTGCTCTGCAAATATATATATATATATATATATATATATATATATATATTACAATCCCATCAAGAAGTTACTTTTAATCCTTGGCAACTTGGTGAAGTTATAAACAATTTTATTGTTCGGATAACTGGTAATATGCTTGTTAAGATAATTGTGATCCTATTCATATATTACTGTCTCGCCAAAAGCAAGAAAATTATAGAGCGTTCAGGCTTGGCAAAATGGCTCGGGCTAATAGATGTTAGGAGATTAAGGTTTTGATAGGAACATCATTTTTTTTTATAAGGAAGGTCTTAAATTGAAACTAAAAACATGATTATACTTATTGAAATCTGACTAATAAAATCGTTAAACTTTTAAAGATGCATGATCGCATGAACTAATAAAATAAATTTACTTTTTTAATAAAATATTCTCTGGTTCTATCTTTCCTGATTTTCTTGATTTTTTGAAGATTACTTTATGGATGATGATATATGCACTTGGTTGGATTATAATTTAGAAATCATGAACCGGTTGGTTAGCATAATCAAATACTCAGGAGGATCATAGTTCTAAGCTTTTGTAAATTATTTATAATATTATTTATTAAATAAAATATTTAAGCAAGCTTTAATTGCATGATTGCAATTTTGCGTTGGTTTTAATATAAAATTTACTTCTTTTTAGAATCTTTTTGTCTATTGTTGACTATATTGCTCAATACTTGGTTAATTTTGGATGATAAACTTCATAAAGTTACAATAATAAATCTTACATCTATATAATCAATTATTATATTATAATTAAATTATAATTATTGAATAATCAACTAACTAAATTATAACGTAACTAAACCAAAGTGGCATTGATAATTTACTTCTTTTTAAGATCATTAACCAAATACAACAAAGGAGAGTTTATGCTGCACATTTTGGTAGCATCATTAGTTACAGATAACGATAAAGTAGGTGCATAGTTACCCTTCGTGAAAAGAAAAAAGACAAAAGAAGAAAAAAAAAAAACCCATCTGTGGTTGCAAAACAACAAATCCATAGACAAGAAAGAAACTATTTTCTTTGCTACCATTGACAAGATATCTTATATACTCTTTTTTTTTAATAGCAATTTCCGAAATGGATTGGGTAGGATTGCGTTTTCCATTGTGACAATTCAAACACAAAGTTTAACCAAACCTTAACATCAGATAACGTTCCTTCTCAAAAATTACATAATAGTTAAAATGTTTTTGGCAGCCTAAATTAAACACCTGTTTGCTTGGTGGTCAGTTTGAGTTTCTATGATAGGCATTGAGTCATGACTTCAAACTGGATCCTATATTCCGATTCCTATCCATTTCTCTCATTTCCCCCCCTTTCTTTTGATTAACAAAATTGTCTTTTTGTCCTTTCGATAAACTTTGAACTGTTGAAGAAGCAGACGGGGCGGGGGGGAAACCGCAGAGGCGCTAGTATTTACGAAAACGAGTGAGTTTTGTCTAAATAACCGCGAAACTGAAAGTCCCGGTAACTGGCAAAGCTAGTGCGCGTAAGTAGAGCCCGCATCGCCTGATCCCACACCCCCACTCCCACAAACTCCAAACACCAATCACCTTTCTTCTGGGAACGTAAATTACCAAGCTTTACGCTTCTTACGCGGGAATCAATTGTGGGTCTTGTCGTAGAAGACCCATGGTCTTACTTACCCAAGTTCCCTCCTGCTAACTGCGGCAGTTAGAAACCTGAAAAAAATTATGTCCCACTCCCTTCACTCTCTCTCCCCCTAGAGCTTCTCATTAAACCCGCTCACCTAATACATCAAAATTGAATCTTTTCAAGAAACAAATATTCAGGCATAAGTTCCCGAAGAAGCAAAAGCCAAAAAGACAGGTTTTTTGTTTTTGGTTTGGGAAGAGAGTGAAAATGTCAGGGGATGATATAGAGAGCAGGAGAGGAGGGGTGAAGAGAAGCAGCAATAACAACAATAATACCAGCAGCGGTTACGCATCTTCATCAACTTACCTGATAGAGGACACAGAGACGCAATGGACATCGTGGTTGGTGCCTATGTTCGTGGTGGCTAATATTGCTGTTTTTATTGTTGTTATGTATGTCAACAATTGTCCGGAGCACAAGCATATGAGGCTTGTAGGCAAGTGTGTGGCGAGGTTTCTTGGACGCTTTTCTTTTGAACCTTTGAGAGAGAATCCTCTCTTTGGTCCCTCTTCTTCTACGTAAATTACTTATTCCCTTTATTACTTCAATTTCATTTTCTTTTGTGATTAGCCTGCCCTCTTGTTTTGTTGCTTTTTTTTTCATTGATTTAAATTTTGGAACATGGGTTTCAAGGTGAGTTTGAATTCTGAATTTGGGTCACCTTTGGTTGGGCTTTTGGAGCATTTGTTAGCCTATTTCTTAACCATGCTTTCTCTCTGATCATTTTTCTATTGGAGTTGTCAAGGCAGTAAATTGGGTTGTTGGTGGACCTTAACTGAAAATGCTTTTTTCTTCTTCCAATTCGTAATATTTATCGAATTTCAACATTATTTTTCGTTTGGTTTGAGATACTAGGTCTCTGTTTTCCGTGAATTTTTTATTATCAATTTCTGGAATTAGAATTTCTCATATCTGAATTCTGGTGTAAGGCTCTCATATCATGAAAAATGTATATGGCCATATGTTTTTCAGCTTTCCACACCTAATTTTTGCTGTTTAGGCTGGCTATGTAAAATTCTATTTGGCATAAAAGTATTGGAATTTCTTATTGTGTTTGACTATTGCATGAGGAGAAATGCTTTCAGGTAAAATTTGGTGAATTTACTTTCTCATGCCAAATGCATATAAGTATCTGCTTCTTATTTATATTTTGCTATTATTTTTTTTCTTGGACATTGTTAATCGGGATCATTTGGGTTTTGATATGAAAACTCTGCATATTCATGTTATATGAGCTTTGTTTATTACTGAGTAGACACTTTGATTTAAAAGTTTCTTTGGATCGATTGAAATGCTTATTTTTATAAATCTCTTATCTTAACTGTCAGCCAGGGACTGTTGATGATCAAGTTTCTTTTTGAAATTGATGTTCGTTTAACTTGTGAATTTTAAGGGTTGTATACTTCTGGTTCTTTAGGAGTTTCAGTCTGGTTCTGGTTTCTGCTGGTGAACAATCACTGGCTAGTTACGTCTTTCCTTATTTTTTTCCTCTTCAAGTCTCCTTTTGATCTGTCTCTTACTTTACTCAAACCAACGTGCTAACAAGAACAAATATTAAGTAAAGAATTATGAGCACACCTGTGCTGCAGAATTCACTCATATTTGGCTTTGAGTTTCTTCTTAAAGGAGACTGGTCTTAGAAAGAGGCTAAATTACATTGTGTTTGTTGGGAATTAGAAGTAGGAGTACTGAAAGGGGTTAGTACAAAATGTAGAAAAAAAAGTTTCGCTTGCTTGGCAGGGGGAGAGTGAGAAGAAAGAATGAATGAGAGCAAAAACTAAGCCTGTAAGTCCAAATCTTTCCAACTTCAGTGTCTGTCTGGCAGGGGAGAAGTTAAAAATAGATGAGATATTTATTGAAATGTAACAAGGTATGTATGATTTTGCAAGTAACAAAATCACAAGGGTATAAGATTTAATTTTCTTTCATGATATTGATGGAAACTAGCAACTCAACCAGTGGATTTCCCTTTAAAATGAAGTTATGTTTTCTACTTTGGCAGATTGAAGAAGTTGGGAGCTCTTGAGTGGACAAAAGTTGTGCTTAATCATCAAGGATGGAGGCTTATCACTTGCATCTGGCTGCATGCTGGTGTTATTCATCTTCTAGCAAACATGCTGAGCCTGGTCTTCATTGGTATACGCCTTGAACAACAGTTCGGGTTTGGTATGTTTCTCCTTCTGTTTGAAATTTATCTTAATCGCTTGTTCATACTCTTTTTGTAACTCATTGATGATGATTTTAGCATCTTGTTTTTTTATCTCCTTAAACTGTCTGTAAATTAAAATTTGAGATAGTTTGATGATCTGATATTTGTTGTTATAAATTTGCAATGTTGCAGTGCGGATTGGAATTCTTTATCTCTTGTCAGGATTTGGTGGAAGTGTGCTTTCGTCTCTATTTATCCGAAACAACATCTCTGTTGGTGCCTCTGGAGCTCTTTTTGGGCTTCTTGGTGCAATGCTTTCTGAACTTATTACCAACTGGAGCATATACACAAACAAGGTGAGCGATATTAACTCTTCCGTTTCCTTGATCATAGGATCTTGTATAATACATATATTACTACAATGTAAACCATCGTAATATTTTATTATATTACCAGGCTATGTTTTACACATTGTGTTCATCAATGTCCTGGTGTTAATGGTCTTATTAATGGCCCTTTGTCTTGCTTACTCCCCTTTTAATATTCCTCAGGCTGCAGCTATGCTCACTCTTCTGGTCATCATTGCCATTAACCTTGGAATAGGAATTTTGCCACATGTTGATAATTTTGCTCATATTGGTGGATTTTTAACTGGGCTTCTCCTTGGCTTTGTTCTGCTACCTCGTCCTCAGTTTGGATGGTTAGAGCGCCGGAGTCTTCCAGCTGATACTCGTTTGAAATCCAAATACAAGCCTTATCAATATGTCCTGTGGTTGGTTTCCGTCGTGCTGCTGGTTGTAGGGTAAGTAATCATTCATGCTTCAAATAATTGATTGTCGGGTCGTCAAAGAAGGATCGGAAATTGAATCAATGCTTCTTAATTCATATGGTTTTAAGATGATCTTAGTTTGGTGACCGTAACGACTTGAATGGGCATTTTTATCTGCAAAATCATGGGTATTATGGATATATGGTAATGGAATAATTTTCTTAAATTCTGAAATGACTTGTCAGGTCATAGATTCATTTGTTATGAAGAAGGCAAACAAAATGGAAATATTTCACTTCTCATTGTACTGTTAATGCTCATTAACATCTGTCGTTTATGCTGATGGTGTGTATTGAGGTAGTGGGGCATTGATTGATGGTTCCATAGTGATGACAACTGGATATAACATATAAGACAGTCTTTTGTTTATGTTTCCTGTCATGGTTACTTGTTTCCAAGGCCCGAGATGGTCCATCTTTATGAGATTTTCAAGATCAGGAAGAAACTAGAAAATTTTTGTACTATTTGTGTACAAGTGATTTCAAAATTCCATGTTTCTGCAATAGCCAGCTGTAATTGCCACACGCTGACTCAAATGCTCTCTGTACTTGCTAAAATGCAGATTCACTGTTGCTTTGGTAATGCTCTTTCGGGGAGAAAATGGAAATGATCATTGCCATTGGTGTCACTACCTAAGCTGTGTCTCCACCTCTAGATGGGATTGCAATGAAAACTAGTATTGGATAAGCTTCATCCTATTTGGAGATTTCTATTTTTACATGCAATTTGTATAGGTTAATATGTAAAATGACTCTTATACTATTTATCTTTTATAAGTTTGGTACTTAACAAAAATAAAATTTTCATTTTAGTATTTCAATTTTCATTTGTTTAAATATTTTAATACCTTACAATATTGTTAAGCTACTGACATTATATGAATACTTAATAAAATCATCTCATGTATGGTAATATTCAATTATTATCACTTAAGTTATTGTTACTCCAACAAAAATTAAAAAATAAAAATAAAATCTTATTTTTTAAATAAAAATAACTTAAAAAATAAATAATATGATGATGATAGGATATTTATGTTACGTGTTATGATTTTATTGAATATTAATGCAACGTAAATAATTTGATTAAATGTATTAATTTAGATTATCGTGATGTAAATAACTTAATTAAATATGTTAGTTTAAAGTGATTTGACAAAAAAAAGTTTGGGTAACAAAATAAAATTTTTTTTTTTTTAAATATTAAATTAACAGAAAATATATAATACAAGAGTCAACTTTATATTTAATCCTTTTGTAAATGCATAATAATAGTTTAGAGCGTGAGTAAATTTTTTTTTTTTTACTGTCAGATTTTTTAAACATCAAAAGACTGCTATTATTATTGCCTTTACAACCCTTTTACAGTATTATCATGCGTATGGTATGAAGCCCTTCACTTGTAAACAAAGAAACAAGGAACAGCAAAAAACTCCCTTCCCAGTATACTTACTATGCAAAAAATGTTACATGGCAAAGAGACGACCACAATCTAAAATGCGATAACTATCTGCTTGGATTCTTTGAGCATCTACTAGTTGGGTCACTCATATTTTGTCGCCGTTATCATCCCGTCTGTAACGGGCCATCCATGTTTACTTGTCTTCGACATCGGGTAAAAATACGGAAAACAAAAAAATCCACATGAATAATGTAGTCATTTGGACTTCAATTGGAGATCTTTAGGTCATATTTAGGATATACCATAATAAATAGAATAAAATAATACTTATTTTATATTATATTTGATTTATATTTAAAAAAAAAATAAGAAGAAATATTTTTTTAATATAAAATGATTTAATTATCTCAAAGTAAAAAGATTATTATTTAATTATAAGATTAAATTTATATATCTTATTGTATTTTTAAAAATTATATTAATAATTTAAATCATATAAATTAAAAAAAATAATTTTGATCAATAAATAAATTATTTTATTTTAATATTTACACACATAAAATATAACATAAGATGATATTATTTAATTTAATTATATTCATAATATTATTTTATTTTATCCTATTATATTCTTATATATCAAATACACCCTTAAGTTATATTAGTTATATAAGATAATGAATAAAATAAGAATTTAGGTCAAATTCTTAATATATCTTATATTATATTTAGTTTATATATAAAGAAAGAAATAAAATTATAAAATTAATAATTCTTTTGATATAAGATAATTCAATTTTTTTGTAGAGAAGATTATTTTTAAATAATGAGATTGAACTTATTACATTTTTAAAAATTATATTAATAATTTAAATTATATAAATTTTAAGAAAAATTTTGATAATAAATAAAATTATTTTATTTTAATTCTTATATATATAGAATATAAAATAAAAAATATTATTTAATTTAATTTTATTTATAATATTATTTATTTTATTTTTATGGTTATTTTGTTCAATAAACATATTCTGAAAAATAGACTCACCTGATAACCATGTGCACCACGCAACCAGACAATTCTCATGGCCTCAGGGTCGCGTGATCTCAAAAATCAGTAGATTAGTATATTATAATTTCTATAGTTCTAGGGTAAAGCGCAGCGCAGCCCACCTTAGCTTTACCGGGGGCGGGCAGATCTTGGGCTAACTCATTCAAAGTAAGACGGTCAATCGCTTTGGCGCTCTAGGCAGATTCTTATTCAACCTTTGTGAGCCTCGCATGTTTAAATTAAATTAACGCTATAAATTTTAATGGTTTGTCCAGAAGTCAAACTCATCTGGTGGGCTGGTAGGATGGGGTCCAAACTGATATGACTATAAAAATTAAAACACTTGAAATGTGGGGTCACAGAATGATTATAGGAGTATTGATTTTGCTTTCGTGGGCCACCACAATAGATGCAGTCGTGGATTGCACCACTGTGACAGGGTTTAACCTCAGCCTGTTCAACCTTCATTACCTATGGTTCACCCGACCCCTCCCCAGGTTCACCAGGCTGTGATGCTGTGACGAACTTGAACTTGATCTTGATTAGATAGATAATTAATTTAAAAGTTTAAAATGTAAATTATATATTTTATTTTTTTAAGTGTTAATTTGTACATTTTTAAAGTTTAAATATTAAAATATAATTAATTTATTAAAATTTAAATTAAAATAATATATTTTTTGAAAGTTTAAATTATAAATTATAAATTATAAATTATTTTTTAAAATATTAATTTATATAATTTTCAAAACTCGTACAGCAAAAATGCAATTAACTCTATTGAAAAAGTAAAAAACTACCATTGTTTTTCAATTGAACTTGATTGAGATGAACCACATATGTCATTTTTCAATTTTTAACCTTGATTTGAAGAAGTTAAATTGCCAATTACCACTGATCATCTTTCCTTTTTCACTCTAACTAGTTCTGTGCGACAATCTGTGATCCGCAGCTGTTTTTTCGAAATGGTTTTCACAACTGTATGATTCACTATGTGCGATTGTCAGTTCTGGGAATCCAAGGTTTCGTTTGTTTTGTTGTGGACAATAAAAGAATGTTCACCGTTAACTATCACTGTCACCATGTTATGTAGGCAACAATTGATAGGACAAAGACAAAGGATGAAACGAAGCCATCGGGAGAATAGCAGGTAGATGGATTTAACCTCCGTGAATGCATAGTGGGAAACCGACACAACTTCAACTGAAACTCTTTTGTTTTATTTTGCTTAGATAATTGAGTTGAAAGTTGAAAATGATCCTGAAACAGTTAAAAGACAAGAGAGCTAGCAATTGTAGGAAAGCAGAGCTGGTTTATAAGTATGTTACACATACACAATCTAATTTATAACATGTTGGAGAAAATGACAGTAAAACTATTTTTCTTGGAAGCTGTGTCCATTTTCAATATCAATAATGTTGAATTTGATCGTGCAGGATCAAAGTTTTGTAACATCATGGTAAACTAATTACAACTCCAGCAGACTAGCGCAGCGCTGCTGTCGCACACCAGGAAACGAAAATAGGAGGGGGGAAGAGAACGCCCCTGTGGGGGGTGGGGGGGGGGGAATCATTCCCTTTGGTTGGCACTACCAAGCCTATTCCGATCGGATGCTGGATAAGCCCTTTACCTAAAGTCAACATGCTGAGCAAAATCTCTTTCTGAATTAGTCCTTGAATCCCACAACCCCTGAAAAGTTCTTCCGGTTGAGCCATATTTGTGGAATTCCAGCCTCTGCCTTGGGGCACTCTGGGACCGATACTTAGCCCGGGATGATTCTGTGTTCGCCATGTAATTTGGGTAACCAGAATATCCACCTAAATAGCCCCATGAGAACTCACTCCTTGTGGGTGTGAAAGGACTTCTCCTAGCACTACTTCCAGGTCTAGATGATGCAGAAAGCAATTGTGGGCTGTTGTCAGCAGTCCTTAAAACTGCTTGATCTTTCCATCCAGGATATGTCAGAGGGCTTAATGATAAAACTTCTGATGAAGAGAGATTTGATATGGGATTTGAAGCTTTCCCTGATAGTTTTCTTGGGGAATCGTACACCATGAAGCTCTTGTTATAATCCAAAGCTGAATCATGCTGAGATGCCCTAAAGTTCCTGTTACTCTGTTGGGAGTTTAAGCGAGGTTTCCATGTATCTACCTCAAGGATTTTGTCACTCTTCTCATCATCCGCATGCCTATGTCTAAGCAAAGTATCTCTCTGGTTGTTCCATAAACTTTCCTCCATCCAACAGTCTAACCAATTTGAACCCATCCGTGCTTTCTCTAGATCAACGATGTCCCTCAGATTTGAATTTGAACCACATCTCTGCATAAAGCAAAATTCAATACATATTCAAAGATCCAACTTTATACCCCAGTGCATTTAAATTTGTTATGGAGCAAGGTTCAGGGATCAACTGATTTGGGAACACTACCTATGACTTTCAACTCATGTTTAAAAGTTAAAACTAATCATATCCTAACATCAAGAAATTCAAGAATGAAATTTTTTCCTACTTTGAAAGGCTATGCTGAATCCCATCACCTGGGATAAGCTAAAAGAAACCATTTGTTGATTTGAACGTAAGTTTTGCTAGAACCACATTCATCTTCCTTTAAATTCGAATATGCAGGAGAACATATAGGTGCATGTTAAAAAAGGAATCTGCAGTGCCAAAGTGCCAATTAAGTGATACCTTTAGGATTGAGGGCCCATCAGATTTAGAATTATAAGCATGAAGTTGGCATTCATCTTTTACAGAACTTGCATGTACCTGCAAGCAAATGTAGGAAAAAGGAGCACATGAGCAGACTGAACATACAGATAAGTTAATCTCAACAAGTTCCTATAGATCAACCACTCCTCCATACTGTATCTGTATGTTATATAGCAGTAAAACGTGTGCCAAAGATTGGTAGCTTTTCTTTCTATTCAACTTGTAGATTCAGCCAGCACAGTTAATTTTGTCTTCACCAGAACTTTAGTCCATTTGACCACAATTGATCTTCAGATCATGGTTAAACATTAAGTTATATATGAGCATAAGAGGTGCTTAAATTGAAACTTATGCTTGAACTCAGGCTTTTGGCCAATGACATGCCATGCGCATAAAACTCTACAAATTTTCTTAATAGAGAAGCAATTTGGAAGTAAAAATAATTGATTGGTATAGTAGCGGACAAGGAGAGTTGCCCCATATGGTTATTAAGCTGCCTTTTAAACAGTGCCCTTCTTCAATGCGCTGAAGTAAAAACAACAAAATCCCCCATAAAGATATTAGAACTTTAAGTTTAGGTAAAGCAAGTGGCCCCTCGGTATTTCAATCTATCAGTGCATTAGGAATCATGTGAGCTCAGGGCAAGCATATCAAATGGCATATCTTTTGCCTAACACAAACCTTCTAAATCAAGTTTATAAATGAGTAGAGAAACTAAAATTGTCCCTAAACATCGACAAGAGTAGAGGTCTGCTTACAGCATTTTGTGAATGTACAGAAATCTTGCCAGCAGAATCCAAAGATTTTGTCAGACCAGCACGACTAGCACGGGCCCGGGCTTGCAGTCTGACCAATGTTTGCATGCGTCTGAGCATGTCTGATGTTTGCTTTCTCACAATGTGGCCTCTCACTAGTGCTTGAAGCTTCACCAATGCTTTCAATGCCCTCAGTGCACTCCGTGCCTGGACCAAGCGCCAGCAGAAGTAAAAAAAAAAAAAGGAAAAAAAATTCAAGCATCATTTCCATCAGAGATTAACCAAAACCATCCAATTCCAATCCAATTGATTGTATGATAACCCTTGTAAGAACATTGAAGAAGAAAAAATGGCAGACTGGTATTTCTTTAGTCCTTCCAGAAGTTAAAGTCTCCAATGATGCATTAGCCCAGGGATTAAAATATAATTTTCACCAGATTGAAAATGAACTCAAAAACCGAGAGGCCTTGGATGAAATCATTATCTACCATATAAACCAAATGAAAAGAGGGTAGCAGTAAAGAAAAAATATAATCTCTCCAACATACAGATTACCAAATTACCAATACTAATTTATCCATGACTTTACAGCTTTACAAAAGTTTAACACAATTGTTTAATGGATAGCCATCTCCACAAGTAACTTGTCCATTAATTAATGCTAGGGTGCTCATCTCATCTCCTTTGAGAATGAAAAATATCTTCCAGTAAACTGGAACACTGGAAGGCGGGCAGATTCAATGGACAGATAAATCATGTTTTCCTTGCAAAATGTAGCCAACATGGAAAATCGGAAGAAACTTTAACCGTTCTCTTTTCTGAATAGTTCAAACCGGAATAAAGCTTGGAACTTGAAGACAAAAGTAAACTAGAGGTACAAAATCTAACAACTTTTCCAAAACAAATGAATTTTCAGAAGAAAATTAATAATCAGTCACAAAGTTGATGTTAAAAAGCCTCCCAGTTGGAACAATTATTTCAATTCCCAACCAGCTCATTAAAAGAATAAAGTAGGCCCAACAACTTGGCTGTAACAAGAAATATTTGCAGAATGATTCCTTATTAAAATGAGGTAAAACTTGCATGTCACCTGTGAGAGAAGAAGTCCCAAAAAGCAAGAAGCTAATTTTGACAAAAATTCTACAGAACAACATTTTGGGTAGAACAATTTTGTTTTAAAAGTAGTATTTCCGAACTCAAATAATATTGTTTTTTTTTTTCTCTTTTGAACTCCTAAGTCTTTAAATGCTTGTGTTTAACACAGTAGGAGACACAGTATGAGACAGCGACGGAAAGACAGAAAGAAGAAAGAGGAGTTTGAATTTGGTCAAACAAGTCGTACAAGTTTCACATGCTGCAACTCACCTTGGTCAAATCCACTCCTCTTTATATCACATCACTTCACGGACTCATTCCTTCGGTTCAATAAAAAAAAAAAGAAAAACCATTTTCTATTTTTTCTAGTTCTGAAAATCGCTTCTGGTAAGTGAGAAAGAAGACGAAACTAAAGCCATTCAGGGCTTCTTCAGCTTCCCCATAGGCCATAGTACCCCCAAAATACTAGAAAGCATGAGCGTGGAAGGCTCATGAGTTTAGTTTCGTCAGAGTATGACGTCTCTGATACTCAATATGAAATAAGAACACGGGTGGGAAACTCCCACGTACGACATGATAGTTTGAAGTAAATGGACTTTCAAAGAAAAAAAAAAGAAGAAAAATCAGCAAATAAGACAATGAAGACGATTAGAAGATAACAGGGAATCAGTTGCCCTGTGAAAGCTCGATGGCGAAATGACCACCTTTCAGTGTCGGCGCACTATATTGACCTTTACAACGCTTCGTTTGTTTTTTTTTTATTTTTTTGGATGTCTCTTTCTTTCTTTCTTCCTTTCTTCTTCTGGGACCATTCCCAGTTAAAGCTTCAATAACACCATTAAAACAAAACTCTTTCTTTGGATTTAACAAAACAAAATCTGGAATACTTCATATGCATTTGCCCAAATGGACGTCGCAAAACACTCTCAATGCAATCTTACAGCTTCAGTTAGCTCTAAAAAATCTAATTTTCAAAAAAAAAAAAAACCAGCTTTTCGAACTACTTGGCCTCTTTCAAATTGGAGAGACGCATGAGAGAGCTCAAAAGAATATCAAGCACACATCTGTTCCCAATTGAATCCTGAATAAAAATTATAAAACAAGGAAAATAAAATACTACTAGTTCCTATCTTTTTTTCTTCCTTCAATTGTTTTTTATTTTTTCCCTTCCAATTTACATTGGTGACTTGAATAAGCGGAAAGAAAGCGGGGAAAAGTCAAAAACCATTGACGAACGTGGAAAACGAAAAGACCCATCAGCAGCAAATGACTTAAGACGAATCCCAAAGGGGCATTCACTGAAGAATAAAAAATTTAAGGCCAAGTAAATACTAACCAGATAACCTCGAAAAGCGGACTGTAAGTAAATACTAACCAGATAACCTCGAAAAGCGGACTGTATCCTAACAGCCGCCTTTTCCCGTGCGATGCGTCGGTTGCTCCCAACGGCGTCGCCACTACCCCCACTTGTCAGCCTAACCACCTCAGCCGCCGCATGCGCTGCCGCCAGAGCAGCCTCAGCTACGACAGCAGTGGCGGCTGCCACTGCTATGGCGTGCTTGCTGGCATCCAATGTGTCATCGTATGTACCAGAAAGAGCATCAAGATGGGAACTTAAAGACGTGGGATTGGAAGATCTGGCAAAGCTCCAACGGCTCCTGTCTTTATGGGAGCCGGTTTGGGCTAGCTTTTTGGCGCCAAAGAGTCGCCGGAAAAGGCCCATGGTTCACTGCCCGCAAACTACACGTCCAGTTGAAGGCATGGTTGATGGGGAAATAAGCATTTTTTTCATCTTTTGGGTGACAGAAAGAGAGGATAGAGAGAAAAGAGTATGGCGAAACCAGTGAGGGTGGAGAGGGAGAGACTTGGACTTTTTTAGCCAACGATCCACAATCCAAGACACTCATACCATACGCGTCTCCAAGAATCTGTAAAACACGCGCGTTTAGCTCTTAATTTTATTAAAAATAAAAATAAATCTGTCATTATGAACCTAAGATTGTAAAATTTTATTTTATTATAATGAAAAATTTTAGAAATATTTTATAAACTATTAAAATGTTTTTATTTGTTGATTAATTTATAAAAAAATATTTAATTTGATTTATTTGAATAAACCAAATGAAAATTATATTTTTTAAAATATTATTTTAATAGTTTTTGTTATTAAAATTTATTCACTCATTTTTTTATTTAATTAATATAATTATTATAAAATAAAAATATCTTCTATTCCATGCAATAAAAAATAAAAAATTTATTTTTATGTTCTTTAAAAAGTTAAAAATTTTATTTAAATATTATCCTTTACCATTATAATGCCCCCTTAATTGATATAGACACCTGTTATTATTAACTATTAAAAGCTAGTACTCTTTAAACATGCAATACTTAAAGGCCAGCTGTATGTAGTAATTCTGACTTGTTAAATATATTTTTTAATTTTATAAATGAGATTAATAGGATAAGATATGTATTATTTTGTTAATTTTGTTTATAAAATTAAAATATTTTATTAATAGTATATTAAATAATTTTTTATTTAATTAAAAAATTAATTTTTTATACAATTAAAAATTAAAAAAATTCAACATTCGACGAACGAGAATTAAATTTTATTATGGAAAACTAAAACTAATTTATTATTTTGTTTAATAAAAACTTTATATTTTTGGTGGAATTTATTGTGTATAAGACTATAATGTTAGAGGATCTCTTACAAGAAAGGGAAGCTCAAAACAAAAGCATCGTTTTTTGTTTTTAATCATCATTCATTTCCTTTGGCAAGCATTAACCATAATTTGAATTCAAAGTTTAAAGAAAGCAGGTCCAAGAAGGAGAGAAATGTAAAGTGAAAACTCCAGATTTCAAATTAGATAAACGTTGGTATAACTGAATTATTGCAATTGTGAAAAGACAAAGAAAAAAGTGAGCAACTTAAGAGGATGAATTTACCCATCATTACGAAAAAGAAACTAAGAAGTGCTTATATGATTATTGATTAGTTAGCAATAAGCAAAGGACGAGGCAAAAGATGGTTAGCAAAACGGCCGAATGTGAGTATTGGGCTGTTGGGTTAGGCTGTGTTTTTTGGTCGTTGGCGAGTAGGACCTACGCATTTCAATGCGAAGCACAAGAAAGATTTTTGATGAATTATGCAACCAACAAGGAGTCTACTTGGAGCTCTAACACTTTTATAAGTAGTATTATTTCTCCCTGGTTTTTCTTGTGTTTTTAGAAACCATGCTTTGACTATGGATGTGTTTTTCTTTGAATCTCGTCTTATTTCTTTTTTGATTTGTCCAAATTATGTTATATACTAGTTTCTTTGGGTCAATTTGTTTTTGGAAAAGTGGAATGGGAATCTTTTTCTTTTTCAAATCCTAGATTTATGGACGTAACATGTAATATTCCTTAACCAAGACTCTCCATAAAACATGAAATTCTGATTGGTTTTAATGAAACCCGTTACATGCATCTACGTCCTCTAAATGGCACCAGAAATTTCTGAATTTTGATTTATCTGTTAATTTCAGTTCAGTTAAAAGCAAGAAATCAAAGGGTTTTCATCAACATGGACGGCGGCAACTTGCCAATGCTTTTGGAGCTTTGAACCCATTTTTTAACATATTGTTACTACATGCATTGGTTATAGCCACTGGCCCGGAGATTTAGCAGCTTATTTACTCACTGTTCTTGACCGAAGGCTGGCTTGTTAGCTACATATTCTGCAACAATTTGCTAGTAAATTCTCTTCAAGATTTGTGTGGAATCCCTTCGGAAACACCAGCCCTGGCCGTCTAACTGCGTCTCCTTTCTCTGACACTGTCTACCTATAACAGTAGTAATTTACAATATTTCATCTATTCTTGCAAGATTAAATACAGAATAACATCTTTAGAAGTCTTAAATTATTCATCATAACTCTATTTTTATGACCAGATGGTGAAGAAAAATATACATTTGCAGCTTCATGTATAGTGCTCCAGCACAAAGTCTCGCACCACTACCAAAGCCCATAAAAAATTTAAAACCTGCACTTAATTCTCGCCCTTGGTTTTGTTATACTTGTAATTAGTTCCAAATAGTCTGAAACAAAATCTCAAAGTTTCCCAATAATCAACTATATTACCTTCCATCGCCATCGATTGAAAGTGAGCGGGTACTCATATTTTGTGGGGTTCAAATGGACAGCAGGTGTACAAACCAAAATAATCCAACCTGCAGGAATTGTATAACCTGTTCGAGCCACAAGCCATCTAAGAAGTCCAAATCGGTTTTATCAAAATTAAAAATAAAATAAAAAAGATGAATTGATTTGTTGATTTAAACGTGCCTTACATTTCTATATCTTTGATCACTTTCCTAAAATTACTGGGACAATATTTCCTAGCCTGATGGTTTCATTGAAAACCTGATCAGATGAGAAGTTGTGAACATTTGTGGAAATGATTTATAAAAGGAATGCTATATTAGACTTCTTAATGAAGAAAAAGTGGTGAAATATTTATAGTTGAACTCACCATATGTGTGAAAGTCATTAATTTATATTCTTTCCATGTGATTCGAGAATCCTTTGTTTCTCTTTCCCTTTCTTCAAGCTCAAATAGATGAAAAAATCCTGTAACATTTCAGAACTGTACAAAAACAAGTGTATCGACAAGGTAGAAGAACATGTTCTATTCTGCCCCTTACGTGGGCCCAAGAAATGCAGTATCGGAAGTTCTGTATCTTTGACCATAAAGAAAAAATAAAGATGAATGTGGAGGTTGGATGTCAAGTTCCATAGCCTGCAAATGGTAAATTAGCATCCAGAATTTGATCAAGGTGACAAATTATCAGCCAAACTTATGGCCATTATTTTGGTCTGTATAGTTGTGTTTACTTACCCACGTCATCCGCATGCTGTTTGACACAGAATCATGGTATGAGCTACGAATTAAATGTTCCTGCATCGACAATGCCCTTGTACATCACACAAACAATATTTCCGACTGCATCACAAAGTAGGGCATACAAATATTAACTGGAGTAACTGGATTTGGCTTGGTTAGTCATCTTGGTCATTATGGAAGTTAGGTTGTTGGTACATTTCAGCATTGGGCTGGAGGTATATGCAGTGGACAACCCGACTGGCTTCAAAGTTGAATGAACCCTATGCAAGGCATTTTTCTATGATTTAATAAACTTTATCGTAGAAGCTGAGTAAACATAACTACTTCTCAGCATTATTTTATCTAGTTAAGCCAAATATCACCTGCATAAAAGGAGCTTGGCCAGAGGTTTGAGGTGAAACATATGCTGGTTAGCAACTTGAAATGCAGGTAATTGAGTTTGGTGAGTATGATCATTCATTCTGAATTCTTTTAATATTGGAGTGTCTCTCCGGCACATTTTTCTGCTTATGTCTATGAAGCACAACAGTCTCATTTCCCTTTTTACTCTCTCATTTCCCTTTTTACTCTGTGCTCTGCTATTGATCCTCAATGGCATTTCCATCTAGAAACATCTCCACATTTTAACTGTCGGAAGCATATGCAGTACTGCAACTTTAGGCAGTAGCTTGAGCTTCCTCAGCTTTTAGTGCCAAGATCTTCTCTACCCCTTCAATTACTTCATTGAGTTGTCTTGAAGCAAACTGAAATGCATCATCAGATTCGGATGCTGTGACAGATATATTGAGTATGCTAAGACACATATCTCTATAACGTCTTGCTGCAACCAACTTAGAATTTTCAGGCATAGTGAAATCACAATCCTCTCCTGCATGCCCAATCCTAGCATCTTTGGTCCATCTTCTTAAGATATACCGGCATGGGACCACCTTTATATTCCTATGATCAAGCACTATCAATGCATGGCTACAAAGAAGCCCAATACATTCAAACTTCATGCAACTGCAAATGACTGTATGATCAGAAGAATCAAATGTAACAGTATATTCTTGACTTTGTCCAAATGTGTTAACTTTGTATTAAGATAAATATCCATTTTGACTACACTGATTACTGATTAGCAACAACATTTAAACACTTGTCATACTCATGCTGAAATAATTCTAAAGAAATTCATGGAAATTTTATTTATGAATTCTTAAGAAACTTTCTAGAGTACAAGAGTATATATATAGCTAAAACATCAAATCTGTCAAATCCCATGATATCCTAGAGATAATAACAAATCACCTAAAAATCCTCTAACGATAAATGGAAACTACCAAGTAGGAATTTGGTCAATGAACCAAGTCCCTTTTACTTAGAAAACAACCAAAATACTAAATGAATGACACCTAATCAAATCTGGTTAGGAATCGATTTTCCACACTTCCCCTCAAGTTGGGTGGTAGATATCAATCATATCTAACTTGGACTTCAAATTCTCGAAATTATCACAATGAAGAGCCTTGGTGACGATGTCGGTTGTTTGATGTTCTGTTGGAGTGTAAACCAATTTAACTGCACCTTCTTCAATCTTCTCTTTGATGAAGTGGTGATCAATCTCTACATGTTTTGTTCGATCATAATGAACATGGTTCTTAGCAATGTTAATAGCTACTTTATTATCATAAAACAGTTTCATTGAATTCTCAACTAACTTCTTTAGTTCTTGTAGCATTCTTTCAAGCTAAATTTCTTCATAAATCCCATAAGACATAGCCCTTAATTTAACTTCAGCACTACTTTGAGCTACCATTGCTTGTTTCTTTCTCTTTCAGGTGACCGAGTTGCCCCACACATATGTACAATACCCTATAGCTGACCTTTGGTCTGTCACAGAACCAACCTAATCTATATCTAAGAAAATCTCCATATTTCTACTTAGTGTTTT